TACATAAGCCTGCAAACAGGTATAACCTTGGCTAATGAGGTCATTAAATCCAACTCTGTCATATCATGCGGGTTGTAATCCCTTTCTAGGTCTATTGGAAGCAATGATATTAACCATAAACTCATAACAAACACGAACAATTAATTAAAGGGAGATATTTACATATCCTAAACTTCCTGAGGGTCGCAAAATACATGCGATGCATTCGAGGTATCTCCAATCATGAAGTCATATATATATTGTACAACATGGATGAGTTAGTCATTTTAAACGCCATAAGTTCTTAACCTCGTATTCTGACTGTACAATGACATTTTCTCATGTCTGTTGTTATATATAGTCGCCCTGGCTGTCTTCAAGTTTTGAGGTTTTTATTCTAAAATGGAGCAGTACACACTCGGAGATTGAATGAGCAGTGCTGTCAGAATTACCTACCTACCTATATAGGAATATATAAACATCCATGGAATTTATTCCCGACGACATCTACTAACTCATTCTACTATGGCACAAGAAAACTCTAGTTGTCAGTTTACCAAACAGTCGTGATCAGGGTAATTTTATTATCATGATCTCGTCATTCTAGAGATGATAAGCATTTCAGACAACTGCTGACTCCTGCAGAGTTATCAAGGCAAAATAGACCCAGACACACTGATCGTAAATAAAATATATGTCCCTCGCAGGAGGTAAAAATAGTTATGTGAAGGCAATAGATAAATATTTATCCGCTCTCGTTTACCGGAGAGCTTATGGGAGTTCACCAAGATGAGCATTAAGGGACCAGGGACCATGAACGGACCGTCGTTCCCTGATCAAAAATGGAGCAGCACGCCATGATTACAACATACTACTCTCGAATTGAGTAGTGATAAAGCTTTAGATTCCAGTTTGAGAGTAGGCAGATGTAGCTCTCAGCCTAGAAATCACCTTGGCTTCTTCTGAATACAGGTACCCTTATTTCAACTCTGATGGCAATGAAGCCCCGTCGCGCCCAAAGATTCCTCCGGAAGGTAATGGAGTTTCTCCATTTATCTGCTCCCACCTCCAAACGTGCAGTAAAAGCACGCAGCAAGTAGGTTTCCTGATTTATGAGGCATTCATTGTCGAAATTAACGAGCAGTTCAGTGCTAGGATGTGTTGTGTTGCTACCACCACTCCTCTTCACAGCATTCCCGCTACCCGAGAATGTGACCACGCTGAAGTGGATGGCCAAGTTGATGATCCTCCGCAGTATACCTTTGGTGGTGCCGCCCTTGAAAAGCCAGCCTCGACCCGCAGCCAACTGGAGCGTCGCATCGTGAAACTCTGGAAGAAAGTGTGGCTGGGTCTTTATCAGATCGATGACAACGAGGATCGATACCATGTCGAGCGACTCGAAGCACTTTCTCTCGGGGCCGGCTTAACTCGCACATACCGAGTTGGTGAGCTTCAAGTTCTCAGGCGTCATTTTCTTCGAAGCGAGACCAACAATGGCATTGCTTCGTTGAAGCTTTTCCAGGGTCTGTCTCTTTCGACCCTCTTATCTGTGATCCACATTTTGGAGGCCTATGAAAGTGAAATTGAGAACATGAAGCTGCTCTATTCTATCCTGCGAAGTGGTCAACTTGCACTGTATGAGACTGCTGACCTTGCTCAAACTGCCGTTGTTAGGACTGAGTATATGGCAATTGCGGAGCCGATGGAAAAGCGGATCAGACAGTACGACATTCGAATGAATGTGGTGAATATGGAAATCTGCGATGAGGCAATGGGTTTCTATCAGCGACAAAAGGGGGAACATGTTTACCACATGGCATTCCCGAATGCGTGGTAGGAATGTGTTTTCTTTTTGATCTGTCCGTGTCCCCTCTCGCTATGACACGTATTGGGCGATGTTGAGTACAATCAGTATGATTTGGATGAAATATTATTTTAATGTTTCATTTAATTAAGATAATTATACTCATGGTGTTATTAAAGTCTTGGTTCTCTAAGCGTGCTTGGGAGATTCTGCACTCCAGTCAAGCTCACTACCTGTTGTTGCCCAGGGTCCAAAATTATAGGCTAAATCTATAGAGTCAACATTTTTGATACACATGGAAGAAATTTAGCTCAATTAGAGGCGGTGTCTTTGATTAACCTCATGTCCCACCAGAGTTTACCAAGGCCCTGGCGCTACCAAATGTCACGTCACAACTTCGGTTGGTATGCCAATGAGATATCCTATATTGTGTATTTGATTGAAACATAAAAATCATTTAACGGCTCACACCTGAGGTCGATCCGGCCTAACGGTCCCTTTTACCTTTGCACTGTCCGTCTCACCCTCGCCCTTTTTACTCTTCCCAGGTTCGTTCACGTATGGGTTCATGGTATCCGCATTATCCAGACCTTCCTGCTTGAATGAAATATTTCCAGGTCCACTGGGTGGACCCATGCCTCGAGGCTAAGTGAAGGTTAGATATGTATTGTTTCGACAGCCTGGATTTTCAAATGACGATAATGCCAACCAAGTCCTGAGAATGAAATACGAGGAATAACAAACCTCATCCCGACTAGAAGATCCTGAGTTCAGATTCTGTCCAACGTCCTGGTTCCCCTCTGCCCTTTGACTATACTCTTGACTTGCTCCGCGTGGCTTTGTAGAAGGCTCGGTGATAGGCATCTTTATATCACCTCTCTGCCATAGGTATATCGATATTGGTAACCCTAGAGCAATTGATACTAGTAGCCTATCCAAAGGATTAATCGAAGTTAGATGCGACCTCTGAAATGCATGTTAAAAGCATGACTAACCATCGGGGGTTCCTTTCCTGGCCACTCGGACTTTCAGTGGCAAAGGATCTTCGAGTAGTGGTAGGCCGAGATGATCGAAGTCCCACACACGGGCGGATATGTTGTCTCACTGCTGCATGCGAAAATGAGCGACAGATAAAGCTCATACTCAAGGTTCGATGAAATTCAAAGATAGTAAGTGGGACTATGAGGACCAGTGTCCTGGAGCTGTATATAAACTTCAAGCGCCTGCTGTGATTTCATGGTTACATCATGCGACTCCTCGGACTTGCTTCCAATAGGAGTTATGAGATTTGATCATGAGCCCAAGTTAAATAATGACGCATCTGGAGAAACGAGAAAATAGTTATCCGGTAGGTTGGTGTTGTTTATCCTCCCAGAACTTGTTGATATTTATTTGACCTCTGATGTCGCTCTACCCACAGTTAGTATCAATATCCGGAAAGGGCTTTGCCACCAGAGACTGGTCAGCTCAACTTCGAAGATTTATTGAGTATTGAGTCTAGACCTCTGCGAAGCCCACGAATGGGCCTGGACCCCGGGCCCATTGATGGGAGCACCCATCAAAGCCCATCTTTTGTATAACTACACTCTTGGCATACATTTAATACTCGTTTTTACGTATATTTCAGCCTGTATACTCTGTACGGATCTTGGTAGCCCGAGGCCGTAAATGTATATAAATACAGCAAATAATACTCTCCCGTACATCATTTATTTTCCTCCCCTCGACGCACCTTCTTCAAGGAATCAGTATCTGTTTCCCTTTCTTGATCCTTATGGGTCAGTTTATGCTGAGCTTATAACTCGCCTTCGTTAAATTCCGTCACAATAGGGGAAACCATTTACATATTTTAATTTCTACTGTAGTTGAATCTCAAACGAGATGGAAAAAAAAAAGATATTATACACTGATCATCCTCACAAACCGATCACCAAGGGCGTTTGCCGCCACAGGATTACCCGCCGAGACCAGCTCCCGATGCAACGTAGTACCACCAGTCTTTTCACGTACACCCTCAACCATCACTGCACCTTCGTTTCTTAACGTCGACTCTACTTTGTTGGCCTCGCCACCCCATAATGTCTCCATAAGATTCTCTTCTGCGTCGCTCCACGATGTAATTTTGTACCCATTATAAACAAACGACCCATCACCCGCCTTCTTCGTACTCAACAAGGCATAAGGCCCATGACAAATCACAGCTGTGGGCTTGTTCTCCTGGTGGAAATAACGCAGAATGCGCCCCAGTTCTGCATTGCCTGCTAGATCCTGAAGTGGTGCGTGTTCACCTGGGATAAATACAGCCGCGAAAGTGGTTAATTCATCGTTGTTGATGGTGTTGAATGGTCGTGGGGTAGAGAACCCATTCTCTCGCTTCATGCGTTCGATGAGATTGTACTCTCGCTGACGTTCGTAGAAATTGCCGGCATTGGCGACGAGTGATTCGCTGCTTGGGTCCGGAGCGGGTTCACGACCTTGCGGTGAGGCGAATGTCACTTCGTGGCCTGCGTTCAATATTTTGTTTAATGGCTTTGCTAGCTCTTGGAGGAAATACCCTGAAGGCTGATCGACAACCTTGCCAGCATCGTGTCCGGTGTTCCTTTTCAGGGGGAAGGAGTGTCCGTCGCTGAGGATAACAAGAACTTTCTTGGAATGCATTGTGACAATATGTAGGATCGATCGACTAGACAATGGGGCTGTCAAGGAATTACCGAAAGGGAAATCCAGAATCTCCTCTGTCCTTTATATAACAACTCCATATAACATAAGTTTCCGTGGAATGACACCGAGATGACGTACCGAATCTCCACGCATTATAGCCACCACCCGGTATACGAGGTTGACATAGAACATAGTATTAAGTATACAGGTCAAGATTAACCAAACTCTTTTTTATCCGAGAAAATTAAGACATTAAGGCATCAATATCCCCTCTAAAGCGTCCGGGCTATGGGTGAATTGTTCAAAATTTGACCAGACCCTCAGGTTCTGCCATGTCGCTCACTTAATCCCAATATTAAGGGCAGGGGTGTGCTTCGTGGAAGCCCAAACGCCACCGGTAGTGATTTTGACGATGGCACCGATGGAAGCCCCGATAAAGGCCTTGAGAATTACTTAGAGGAAGACTCCAATGGATACTCGGGTGAAGGCTCTATTCATAACCCTGATGGCGCTCCCTGTAACGGGGGGTCAGTCCATAAGCTATAGTGACAACCATTCACACATCCGTGGATCTAGGGAAACATTGTGGCGTGTAGGAACCTCGGAGTCCGGCTAGCAGAGTCATGGCCCGGGCTTCCCTTTTCTCTTCCTCCTTCATGTGTGCCATGCCCTGCCAGGCATACTTGCACTGCTTGACATAATTCTTGACACTCTCTCCGGGTCTACCAGAGAACGGGGTTGGGTCTTTCATCTCGAAGTCCCACTCGTCTGGTGGAGAGGTGGATGACGCAAGTGAGAGGTGGTCCAACTCAACAGCCAACGATTGAGGCTTCCGACTGCGGTTCCCCGGTCGGGATATTGCTCGTAGGGTTAAGATTAGGATTCGTAAACAACGGCAGGAGTCCTAGAGTGTAAGGGTAACTGGATCGAAACCGGTTCAGGCAAGGGGCTTTCGAGGTGGGGGACAAGGTGTCTCCGAGTAAAGATTGCTTGGATCTGACGGTGCTTGGTCAACGGGAGACTTGGGACAAGCTTGGATTTCCAGGACCCAAGTTTGTGTCGATAGGAGATTGGTAATGGTCGTAATGAGACTGGACAGACTTCCTATCCATCCGAAGGACCCAGCACGGGTTCCTTGGGCAACTCCTTCCACTGCCCACTAGGTGTCTTAGAGCACTTCTCCCCTGACACCGCAGGAAGTGCTAGACACCCAGGGCACACACGGGTAGCAAGGGCAACTATCTGACACAGGTGGGGTCCCTGCGTCGGTCGTTAATTGAGATAAGACAAAATAATAAAAGGGGGGCCAGAGGGCGTAACTGATATTCATTGGATGATCATGCTTGTAGAGATAATATCTAGGAAGTGGGTGCTCTTGATGAATACCCACTGTACCGCATTTATCAGACCGCGACCTTTTGATATATTGACAAGGTTGGCGGTAAGCACGTCGTAGTATAAACTTTAAAGGGCGGTGCGTAGGGGTAAACGGTAACTAGACCAGGAGTTATGAGCAAGTGGCCTGTATAATCGTTCGTAAGGTACAAACTCCGTCGGAAGCGAGCCGAGCCGAGGTCCCACTAAAATTTAGAAAACTGTAGAATTTCCCCCATACCTGAAATCTCCCTTGCTATTTCTATGTACTATCTACTTTTACCTCTGAAGCGCCCGGTATCAATCCAGGCAAGGATCGCAGGGTGCAGTTTTCAACTGCTATCACAATATGAATACGAATCTCGCTACCCCCACGCCAAGGCCAGCCCATGCGTTTACCGGTGGGCCTCCAAGCAGATCCACACGGGCCAGACTGGTTCGAGACTGACCTGAGCTCAGCTTATGCCGATGTTTCAACCATTCGTTTTTATGGTAAAGTATCGGTGTTGGCTTTCTATTGGGAAAATTACAACCTAGACGTTGTCCCCCTTGAGACTGAGCTCCTTAATGTCTTCCAAAACGATCTTCTTTCACCATTCCGGCCCGCCCAAATGTCAATTCCCACTCCACACTCCTCAGACACTTGATGGACCACGCGGATGGTGCAGCTGGTCCCCATGCGCTACGGAATTATGTGTATTCCCGATACTCCCATGATCCTGGAATGGCTGGCCGCTTATGGGACCTGGTGTAGGTGCTTACTTTTTTAGTCTACACATATCACCCCTTTCACTTCATAACCTATATAGCTACTAATATCGATGCTCAAGTGGGACTTTGACCCCAATTTCCCCGTGGTGGACTGGTGGGCTATACGGGGCAACCTTGAAATGTATGCTGGTTCTGTATGCTACATTTTTGACACTTGCTCTGCTGTATCGTCGGTGTTCGAGTCATAACAAGGGGTAGAACTCATTGTTGCATCCGGTTAGAACACTATTGCTCTTGCGGCACACAACACTTCGTTCACACGAGCCCTTATCGACACAATCGTGGAAATACCACACGAAAATAGTACACTTGCGACAGTGTATAGCAATCTCATACTGCACGTCAGATCGAAACAAATAGCGACTTGTCCGGTCTACATCAGCAAGCCTGGCACACCAAGTGTCACCATAGGCAACATGGACCGTCATGCTGGGCGTCGTGACTAGGTTACAGCAAGGAACCGCCTCAGGGTCCTACTAAGTATGAACATTGAATATACCAATGATCCACATACACTGGATATAGAGTTCTAGAGACAGTGGTCCATACATGCCTTCCCAGACATAGAACCAGGTTCCGTTAAGGTTGATAGGCTGTATATATATAGGCTCTCATTCTCCGTCCCGGGAGAGATGTGAGTAGAGTTACCGGACGACCCAACATACATATATCCCATATAACATCAACCAACCTATTGGCCGCCAGTTGAGCTTCCAATGTGCCCACAACACGAGATCAAGGAAAATAGATCACTCTCCTGGTCACCACAAAAGTCGCTCCGGTAGTAGCGTCGGCAAGTCCCTACTGGGCGTAGCTGATGGATTAGATTGTGTTATTGCTGAGTCCTTCCCCCATCTCTACATTGAGCTCCAGGTAGTGGCATGTGTTATATTTGCAGGTACGTTTATAGGTTTTCCTCTTCCCTATCTATTTGCTTCTATTATTTACCTATCGAGTCACTGGTAGTGAACTTCGCCATATTGTCGCTGGTACGTTTCATTGATAGTCCTTCTCTCTTGACCTTCCGCAACTAATGCCACCCCTTTATTCTGTGACTATATGAACCTCCTAGCTGTAAATGTTACGTTTCTTTTTTTGGCCATTTCGTATTCACTGGATTTCTCTATGCCTATTCGATTGGCACCTAGCTACCGCTTTGAAGACGATCTCGCTTTCACCGAGGAAATTGTCTGCTCTCGCCAAATAGAACGAAGTATCCTGGAACATGTTCTTCGTTTCACACCAAAAATACCCTCAAAGGCGAGAAAGGTTGGAGAATTCTGCTGGAGCATGGTAAGTAGGGACCTTCATATCCAGATCAGCTCCAGAATAGCCAAGGTCCTCCGCAACGAGGACTGCGCACTTCTCGCCGATAAGGAGAGCAGTCTATTGGTTAGAATGGTCAGTATTTGGCAAAATTTCAAAGGAACCAACGAAAGAACACTCACGCTGAAAGTGTTGCAGCCCACATTGTCAGGGCAGATAGATAGGTCGCAAACCTTGAGGCCCTTGACTCCATGTACATTGAGGCGCTCGTCAACAACGCCTCCATGGGGTGCAATAGAGTTGCCCTCTCGCGGAGCCATGCTGCATGTGCCGAGGCAGTGCCAGGTTGTCTCGACGTGACGGGAAACTGCAGCAAAAGGGTTAGACACCATGATCCGAATGGTCACCAATTACAATCCTTGATACTTACTCCACTTCTCAATGTGCTTAATGTCGTCATCACTGTACTCCCAAAGAAGGACGGGCTTCATGTCTATTGGAATTGAGAGTTGAAGCCGAAGGTTGTTTTCCAGGTTCCAACGGAGTTGTCCAAGAACCTATATTCATTTGATTAGCCGAACGGAATACCTGGCCTGCAAAAACCGAGGACATACCGTGTTGGATACCAGCAGAAATATGGTTCGAGCCGGCATATGCCTTGGTAGTGGCCAGATCCATATCTTGCGCCCGTGCCGATGAGTCGAACGCGAACTGGGGATGCATGGCAGTGACCTCTCCAGCGTACGATCCCATGCGCCGGGCGGTCTCACGGGATTTAATATATCCCCAGACCAGAGGGGCCATGTCACGCTTGTCATTCATGAAACCAGCATCAAAGTCAGGGATCTCATAAGGGTCAGCCGACTGGATGTGGGTATGTCCACGGGAGAAGGGGTATTCCTAATAGTTATCTTATCAGCACTGGATGATCCAATTTAGTCGGTTTATAGCATACCAGGAAATGGAACATTGTAAAGAACTTGCCCGGCGGCATGTGCATGTGGTCTCCGAACCAGCTATCTGGGGATTAGCCTTGTGGCATTCGAAGCGAAGTGGGTTTAATGCTTACCCAGAAATGATCGAGTAATGCATGACCGGTTTATCAGGCTTGTTCCGGAAATAGGACTCATATCCTTCTGTAAAGTCAGGGGTAGGCCACTTCTTCATCTCGCCGAGCTCTTGCTCGGTAGGCCGAATCTTGACTCCGGCATCGATACCGTTAGTGGCCAATGGTCCTGTACCCTTCTTATCCCACTCTTCGAAGACTTTCTTCTGAACCTTTGGATCTCCACGAATGAAGTCATCAAAGGACTCGACGTCAGGCTTGGCGCGGTACACTGAGAAAGTAAGGTAGTGGTCCTGGAAGTTTCGACCCACGCCTGGTAGGTTAACCAGGGGCTTGACGCCAGCCCGGCGCAGCTTCTCAGGGTCTCCAAAGCCAGACCGCTGGAGAATAAGTGGCGAACTCATTGTACCCGAGCTAATAATGATTTGCTTCCGAGCCTTGAAGATCCTACGAACTGGTTCTCCACCATTCAGTGGCTTAGTTGGGACGGTCACAACTCCCACAGCACGACCATTCTCGACAATCACCTTCTCAACTTTAGTATTGCATTGAAGGTGGAGATTGCTGTGCTTAGCTCGGGTGCTGTGGACATAGGCGTGGGCCGCATCACTTCGTCGTCCTGATACTGAGTGTCAGAGAGGTAATGATAATGATGCAGAATTAGACCGTTGTTCTTACCTGTGTCACGATTGATCCATTTCAACCAGTGTTCGGCACCGTGGCTGTAATATTATGACTCTCCATTAGCAAGATACAATGGACGATCTATGGTGTGGACCTCATACGCAGTCTTCAGATCTTGCAAATCATCAGTGAATGGAATTCCTTGTGTCTCAACGGCGCGAAGGAAGTCATTCTTGATCGGGTAAGTATAGTTTCCAAATGACACCTTGATAGGTCCGTCGGTTCCGTGCAATTCCGGGTTATTGCTAGCACGTTGGTATGTCTCATGCTTCTTCATCAATGGAAGAAGCTCCTTGGTTGTCCAGCCTTTTGCCTGAAAGTCGTCGTAATCGGACGCAGATGCTCTGGTATACATCTTCAACGCATTCAGCTTGGGGCGACTGGATAAAAAGACTTCAAACGGACATCACTTACCATAAAGTTGATAGAACTGCCACCTCCAAGAATATTGGCGCACGGAACAATAGCCTGACGACCATCCAAATGCTCGGATGGCCTGGATTGATAAAACGATGCCGTCTTCGAGTCAAGCTTCATGTTGTTCGGGTATATACCCGGGCGGTACACCCTAGGTTGAGATGAGAATCCATTCGCTGAAAGGGGTAGCTTCGGCGTCCTCACCATTGATTGTTCAAGTTATCCTCGCCAGCCTCAATCAACAAGACAGACAGATTGGGATCGAGGTTCGCTAGGCGGCCGGCAGGGACACATCCTGAACTGCCGCCACCACAGATGATGATATCAACCTCATCTGGGATAGTCATGACTGTGAATATATTGACAGAAGGGTGATTTGAAAATATTTTCCAAAAGGTGCTTGAGGTAGTAATCAATTTTTTGATGAGACTTCCCAGGGGCCTTATATAGTTGTGCTTTGGTGTCCATGGAAGTATCTATAGATCCAATTTCCCCAAATAATTTCCCCAAATCATGTCATATATACAGCCAATAACCCCGTATATTGACCCCGCGCGTGGAGACAGAGTTCAAGCGCTCTTGTGTAGCTTTTGGGCGAAGCGTGCCAGACGGGACTTTGATCGTATTGGTCAATATGATTTGATGCATATGGGGATGTACAACGTAGATATGATTTCTCACCTATTTTCCTCTCCTTTCAGGGGTATTCTACAAGACGACAGCAAGTATATAACTAGTGCATTGATTCATCAGTGATATTCCCTTTCCCTTTCCGATAGATCAGGTTAACACTGAAACACTTTATACTACGTGCTCGATAAGGGAGGCCAATCCCTAGCTTATGTGGCATAATAATATAATGACGTATATATGTAGTACTACGTACGTGGCCGTTTGGTGACAATGATAGCCAATAGGACTAAAGCTCCCAGTGGCACACCTATCGCCCGTGGAGGCTAATAGCAGACTTCGCCCTCGTCAAAAGGTGCGTTCATCGCCGACGCATTCCAAGGAATGTGTCTCCCAAAATCACGCACATCATATCAGCACGGTGAAAATAGAAAAGCCGTGGTCTTTTCACACATTAAAAGGAGAACTGCTGATTATATTATCCTATCTTCCAAGTTGACTGTCGCTGTCACATCTCAAAAGCCAACACCTCTCTAGCGGTACTTTTGGGAGGTTCCCCGCATTTCATGTATGGCTGTCGTCAGCTCAATTGATTGCCTAGACCAAGCTCTTACAGGCTGTATGCATGGTAAGATTCCCTCCATCCCTCTGTCTGGATAATCGAGGCCTGAGTGGGGGGGGTCAAAGGCGATTTGATCGCATCCGGCAAAAGATAATCAGACTTGATATCCTTATTCTCCATGTAAACGTAAACGTAAACGCTTTTAGCTTGTAGAATCATACCTCAATTAGGGAACCAGAGAATGAGTCTGCATTTAGTGTCACCTTGTAGCTGTTCCCTTTCGGAGCATTCGTTGCGAAAGGAAAACTTAACAGTATTTGCCCTAAGAACCACGTATAATACATTTGATGAGGTGAAGTCATATCCTGAATCAGTTGCATTCGGATTGGCTAGGAAGCATGATTCAGTGCATAATTTGGCGCTCTCTGAGCACAATAGTCTCCTGCGCGGATTGTCACTTTCCCCGCATTACCCGTGCCCTAAATAGTAATTTTGCGGGGTAAACTTATTGGCGTGGGGTACGAACTTTACTTTTACGAAAGAGGCGGCCAACATAGACTGTCGATACAAATTTCCATTGGAGGAAATTTGACACATCACAAGGAAGTCGATCTGCGCGGTACTTCTACACATGACTGTAGCCAAGTAGTTATGTGTTTAAAGTATCAAGTAAATCACCAATATATCTTCCACCAATCAAACTAGCATCCCAACCATAGAGCAAATATATGACACCAGGGAAAAGAAAAAAGAACGTGATGTGAATTAAACATACATTAAGTTATACACATATTCGAATGGTATATAATGTCGAGATAGTTCCTAAGAATCATTATGTGTTTTCCCGAAGCGCAGGCAATAGTGACAATGAGTCCGATTTGAATTTTTTGAGATCGGCCTGTGGTGTTGGATAACGTACTAATTGCACTAAGGGCCAGGAGAAATCTAGAAATTTACCAGCTGGTCGTATGTAGTATATCCGGGTTTGGGCATATTATTTCTCTTTCGTCATCAACACGTTGTCTTGGTCGTGTGAAAGGATGCTGAAGAAGAGCCCAAGTCCTATACAGGGAGATATCTATGTGCATGCTGGAATGTGCGAATAGAGGCTATATTTTCGGAAAGCCAGAAGATCGAACCGTGAAATCTAAAAATGCTATCTATATAATCATTTAAAACAAAAGAAAAAACGGAGTCTAGGAACGTGGATCCAAGGGATATTCTCCCCACTCTCGGGCTCAAATTCCACGTAAGGAATTTAGCCTGTCTGCGACCCACTGTTTTGCGGCGGGTTGCATTGAGTATGTATCATTCGATGGGTGATAGAGAAAAAGCGACATGTCAACGAGCTTTCTGGTTGCCGATTGAGCTCGGAAACGGTCAATATCACGTAGGGCTCTTGCATCAGACGAAATTTCAGGCATGCTGCGAAATTCTGATGTGAGAACTTTCGATTTTCTCCAGCTTCTTGCCCCTTTCACAGACTGGTCAAAACACCTGCTGTGGATCTCTTTCTGCTGCTTCGTGGCAGTTTTGAATGCGAGGATTGAATTTGCCAAGGCATCAAAAGTGATGTATCTGCTGGTGGAAACCGCCGAATAATGTAGTAGAGCGAGTGCGTCCTTGGAACACCGAATCTTTTGTTTTCGAATTTGTGTGAGCGCTACCTTCAAAGGCAAGTCTTGCGAACCCTGCAAGATACCGGCTTCGGATTCCTCTGTCCGTTGTTTTTCGAACAGTGCCAGATAGCTTTCCCGCTCACAAAAGCGATTGCGAATCACGACACCCACATGGGTCAGGGTAAGAAGGTTAGACGTTGGTCCGAATTGGGCAATGACTTCTTTTGCCCAAGCTCGCTCCGAATCCCCCAGGGCATCACCAACCCTGCCGACCACAGAAGGAACCGCGTTTTCTCTTCCTTGTCCATCTCTGAAACGTGAACAGAATCAACACTCCCAGGAGGAGATGATCTAGTCGTGACAAGAATGTGTCCTTTGTCGCCGGAAGGAAAATACTTTTCTGCGTCTGCTAGATCTCCAACATTGTCGATGATCAGGAGCCATGGCTCTTCAACACTAGACAGCTCCGCAACCTCCTTTGTTTTTGTTAAGGGAGGACCGAGGCTCTCGAAGCATCCATTCTCAGCGTCGAGCCAGAAGATACCCCGATAACTTTTTCGTTGAAAATTGAATAGTTAGTAAGATATCAATATGAATAAAGCGCCCTTTGGCAGATCATACATGGCTTTATGTTCATCTGCAAATTTGGAACATAAATGCGTCTTTCCTGTTCCCTCTTTGCCATAAATACAGATCATTTGCCGGTGTTGTGCCGATTCTTTGACAGCCAATGGTTTCAACATTTGCAATAAGTCACCCAAATAGTCACTCTTCCCTTGGTAGAAGGCGTTGACGAGTTGGGGAGTGAATACTTTGCTTCTTTTGGTAGATATGGGGTTGTCCATTCTCAGTACATGGGCGTTTTGGGAGTACCTAAGTACAAATTGTTGGTTAAAGGGTTTGAAATTGAATGATGGAAAACTCACATAGTCATAGTATCGACCAAAACTTTGATAGAGGATTCATGAACGGATAACCGACCTTGCAAGCGCTGGAACGACCCTTTTCTGAACTGCATCCGCATAAGCTTTACCAGACTATTATAATTCGTAGATATCTTGGGGCCTGTTTCGCCACAGATCTTGAAAACCTCGTTGTTCAGTGAATCTGCCGCCTGAATGGAGTTGACCAGCTCCCTTTGAAGGTCCTGGCAGAGAACTTTATATCGGATGTCAGTTTCGGATGAATATCTCGAGGTGTATCCAACAGAGGTCGTGTGACAAGCAGCGGTGGCTCTTAGTGTATCGATCATGTTAAGACGATATATTAGCTCTTCGGTTTCAATCAGTTGCTTGTAATCACCATAAATGTGGACCACACCTAACACCACAGTTACAATGGCAATGCCCGCAGCAACAAGAGAAATAGCATCCATGTTGAGTGAGACGGAAATAACGAAGAGAGTATGAGAAAATATTAGATGAGTGATAGAACTCATGAAATATATAGTTAACTATGTGATAGCCTTTTGCACTGTGAACCTATTGTTTCAGTGTGTTTAGTTTCATCCATGAACTAGACATTGTATAACTACCTCATAACCACAGAGTCAATGTCCATTCCAGGGGCAAGAAAGCTTCATGTTCCAGTCTGCGACCGTATTACACACGAATGAATAACCCCGTCGGTTGTCTTGCCCTTCTTACAACGACAATGTGTTTAGTTTCATCCATGAACTAGCCATTGTATAGCTACGTCATGGCAACAGAGTCAATGTCAATTCCAGGGGCAACAAAGAGATATATTGTAAAATATGGCATCTACTATGGTGTTATGGGTGGCCCACTCGGTAGTGAAATTCGTTATTGGTTGTCTTTCCCTTCCTATAATGATAGTGTGTTTAATTACATTGTATAGCTACGTTATAACTAGTAATAGAGTCAATGTCCATTCTAGGGGCAACAAAGCTTCATATTCCAGTCCTCGACCATATTAAACACTGGGTTCGAATGAATACCCTGTTGGTTGTCTTTCCTTCATTACAACGATCTTAACGGTTGAGCTGATCATTTCTTTTGTTCCCGTACAACTCAGGCTTTTGGTGTCTCAATAGTAGGAGAATCAACGGTGATTGTGTCAAAGAACCCGGTTTTACCTTTGAGTAAAATAAATCAATATCATTGGGTCTCACCTTGGTGGCCCTTCCGGTGCTAACGATCCTATCCTCTCGTAATGGGGAAAATAGCGGTTATACTTGGGTCAATCTATTAAGATTCCCAGCCCTATTTGTTTGATGGTAAGAGACACTGATCCCTTCACAATAGTAAATTATCTTTAAATGGATCTCCATAAGTTCATTGTGTAGGGGTGTTAGGAGACGCCCAAGGAAGAGAGCAAATGAGACAATAATCAACCCGTGACCGAAAATAACAATGAGCAACAAAACAAAAAGATCTCAGATGTTCATCTGAATGAAATGGAAATAGAGAGCGCGACGTAGCGCTAGGCATGTACACAACCATGCATACGTTTTTTCTTTTCCTTTTCTGCCTTCTCCTTTCTCTCCGCGCGTCCCAAAAGCCATCTCTCGACCAGAAGTTCAGGAAAAACTAAGGCCCTGGGGCTACACAACCAAATGTCAGACTTGTTATTCAAGTCCGGAGTTGTCCTGATCATAGGATCCGATTCAGTTCCTCGATGCCGATATGTTCTGAGGCATTTGGGTACATGTGCCTCATCTGCGAGGTACTCGGGCACAAGTTCGATATCTCCTCGCTCGCAAAGCTTCCTAAGGAGGCGCGTGTGCCTTTTTAAAGCCGTGATTGCCCATTTCCTTTCTTCTGGCTTGTACCAATTCCCGAAATATCCATACATCGACATCCATAATGCACGTTTAGGAAAATCAGGTCCACCTAGCGGTACACTATCCTGCACGAAGAATTTCTCAGATGAAAGTGCAGTTTCTAGCATGTGGAAAAATGTCTCCCCGTCGACGATTTTTCCAAAGTCATCCAAGTCAAAACCGAACCAAGCGACATAGCGACGTTTCTCGTGCACCGGATTATGTTCTATCATATAGGTCTTTCCCAGTTCGTCGTGCAGGCGCCTTGAGATGATAACTTTGTATTCTTCGTTGATGCCGCCGGACGGATAGAGCACTGGAAGTTTCATGACATACTTGGCCTTTGGGCTTGTAAGTCCACAAATGTCGTCGGAGTAGGAACTTAGTAGATGAATCCCAGGGGTGGGTGGTACTGGTGCTAATGTCATATCGTCGAAGTTATATCGGGGATCTTCGGGACTGCTCTCCCACATGGGAGGCTCATCTATGAGCGCTCTTTGTTGGGAAAATTTCAGAGTGCCCCCCCCACCTGGGCTCAACTTCGAATACGCTTTGTTTCTCCCACATGTCTGGTGGTCAGAGGAATGCGGTAGTTGGTAAGAAGGTAGATTGACACACTCGAGATTGAGAGGAGATCGGAGATGTTATAACCGCTAGATACGGATGGCATCCTTTTATTTATAGCTGGATAAAAAAGCGCTTTACTTTAGTGGGCCACTACACAAAGTATGTAGGGTAAAGCCATCCTTGAACCTAGAAGGGGTGAAAGGTCAAAAGGTTTATTCTATTTTCGGGATTAGAACAAGCGACCTCGAGAATGTAATAACCCAAGGAAGAGAATCAAAGGGCCGAAGTACGATGTGGGAGTAAAGAGCAATGTTATTGGCTTTCCCCAATGTTTTGGGACATTCCTGACACCAAAGAAGATAGTTTGAGATGACTCGGTACCGAGCTATTATTCCAATTGGCGGCCAATGCCACATCTTTGAATGGAAAAAGGCGCAAGTCAACATCTCGATGGAAGTTTCCAGCAATCTTGAACCTCGGGCAGATCAAAGGATTCCTAATTCGAATTACATTCATCGAAGAGCTCATGTACAACAGGGCGGGTTCAAGATGTGACCAATACATTCTTTAGTCAACAATTCAGCTTCTTGCGATACGTTTGAATTGAATGTCTTCATAGTTTATTTCATAGCGACCTCATCTGGTTCTACTTGATTTATTTGGGGGTCATGGAATGTTCTTGGGAATTGAGGATTTTGTCGAACAATCCGAGTTTCAGTTTGGGATAAAAATAGGCACTCAAAATGTTTGAATCAAGAACAACAAAGAAATAAAGATCGTAAAAACTCAAGTCTAATTATTTCCACCTCTCTGATCAATTTAGGTTGGATTGCAACCCATTCTTCAATTTCCGAGATGGAGAGCGCTATTGCGATTTCTAAGAGAACCCCTGATTCCACTATCGCACCTACCCTTTGCACAGAACAGGCAAGTAGAGCCAGAGATACCTCGATTAGGGGATTGACATATAAGCTAAGATCCTTTGTTAGCCTCCATCGCCATACTGCCTTGGGGTGGGTGGAATAATGGACCGAAAACAAAGAAAATAATATCTAGATCTCGCAAGAAATAAAACTAACGCATAGCATAACTCTTTGTATACCCAACCAATCAACTATACATACGAAAAGATATCACGAGCACTGTTACAAAGAGAGAATCAAGGCCGATTATGCCAAAGAACTAGGTCCGACCTTTTTCTATTTATAGTATTTGAGGCGAAGATGGATGGGAAGCCAGGACAAGAGAGAGAAAGCAATGCAACTGTATTCGTGCTAACTCCTTAGGAGGAAGAAGGGGAAAAGAAGAAGAGGCAAGGAGACTATAGTCCTGTCACATAGGGTCAGGTGACATCCACCATAACAAAAATGCATGTCCAACTGGCGCGAATAGCGGATTATGTGGTGGACGTCGAAGTGCATGGTGTAATGCGAGATTGATTGAGTAGAGAGCTAAGCCGCAGAATCTAAGAAAGATACTAAGAAATCCGACAAGTCTCTTTTCATGACAACACTTACTGACTCTCAGTGTAGTGTATACAAAGATTAGGGTTGCATAGGCTTCGAGCGTACTCGGATTTATCGCAATTATACGGTTGCCTATTCCTTGGGTTTTCTTTCTTGGAGGTAAGGGTTTGAGACCGCTCTGCGGGCCCATTCATCCCACGTTGCCGGCATTATTTATGGCTGTGGCATCACCGAGCAGACCCGTACGACGGCCTACTGGCATGAGATATTTTCGGCTTAGCAGCACCGATCGGCATCTACTTTTAGGCGTTGTGTCCACGGATGACAGGGGGACCGAGAGTGCATTAGGACTAGCCCAGCTTTCAGCCGTGGCAGAAGGAAGCTAAGATTGGTCGTACGGAGGGTCGCTAGCAATTGACGCAGGGAGCTATAAAGCCCGAGATGCAGTGAACGATGGGTAATAGCGAGGTTCGACTCCGAGGAGTGCAGGCACCGGCATTAGAAGTTATTCAACAAAGACCGAAGAGATGTCTGCAATCGCTAGATGACCATAGCAATGACCTAGGGGCCCCCAAGCCTTGCCAGACCGAGCAAAATTTGATAAGACAGGAATCATTGCTAGCATAGAAGCTCGGAATCATTCAGGGCTCAAGGCTATGCGTATAGGGGGCATTTAGAGGGCATCTGAGTCTTCCCGATATCAAAGAATACCTGTAGATTAATTCTGTGGCAACCCTTAGATACAGGAAAGATTTGTCTAGTAACAAATAAGTTGCTACGGTGAGACCAACGCTAATCTAGCCTGCTCCCTCACTAGCATAGGAGGATATCCGCCTACCCCAGAAATAGAGGTCCCACTGCATAACCTAACAAAAGAAAATGCTTATTGGAAGCGCACTCTTTGTCAGATCATTGACCCCAGAGTCCTTCTGAATAAAAGATATTGCGGGGGCTATGATGGATGAGGCAAATTGAGTCATAAACCCAATGGCCGACAGTATGCTGGTGATCAGCCGTTTCCTTGCAGACGTGAAGTTGAAGGGGTTCTCCGGGTCACGCTAACCATCCCAGCCAATAATACTATTCTCGAGATCCGTGAGAGTCTGTATCACCGGAGGTTGCTCCGCCACACTGCGATTAGCAGGATTTCCAACAACGGCGTTGCTTTGATCACGACTAATACATGTATCGCAGATCTCAACTTTTTGAATGTCATTTCCCTTCTGGAGTTGTGTCGTCAGCAATATCAGAGAGACGTAGTAGACCGTTTCTCGCATTTTGGATTTGGGTTTGACAGTTGCAACCGTCTGTTGAGATACACTCAGCATCGTCCTCAGAGTCATTTGTCTCGGGTGATTCTGCCGTTTCGTAGACGACCGCTTCTGTGACAGCATCTAGTCTAGAGTTAGAGCCAGGATAGCATGTATCGTTGCTAGAGGGCATGTCTTCTTGTCGTTCTATCTGCATCTAAGCAAAAGCCGGCCTCATTGACTAGGAGCCCCGGTGCTAATCAACACAAAGGCTATTGAGTTGGAGAGCCGGAGAAATGACAGGAAGATACTGTGACAAGGTGGGAGCGCACGCCTTTTGACAACCCGCCGAAGGAAACTACCACGCCGACCCAGATATTGTCAAGAGTATAAGAATTATCTCGCCCTTTACCTCTCAACAACACCCCACATAAGGCAACTTTCCCGCCCACCAATCGCCTATCGATGTTTCCTCGTTGAGTATGTTGTGAATGTAAATTACACGGTACACCCTGACGTTCTCACCTAACCTTACCGAATGAACAAATACGTACTCGCATGACCTGGTAGAAAATTGGGACAAATGAGATTAGACCTCCGCAATGGGCCGAGTTGGTCCAGGACCTTTGACCCATAAACCAACCAGCAGTGGGCTATGGGCCCTACCTTCAAAGACCAACTAAGCCTATGGCCCATTAGTGGGGGCCTATGACCCCTATACGTCTTCGTAATACGTGTGATGGCTTCATGCAAGTGCGTATTCGCTTAAACTTGTCAGCTTGACAAATACTATTCATGGAGTACAGAATATATACCAGTATCCAATAGACGGAAGATTTAGCTGATTTAGCCGGATTATTCGCTCTTTTGACAATTTATGGTATAGTTGGAAAACGTGTCCTAAAGACATCTTATTCTGTAAACCCGACCGGCCGCCTTATCAATCGCCAACACGACGATCGTCAGGATAATCCCAGCAATGTCTTCAGTGGTGCGGGTCTGGGACAAAGAAATAGGGGTCACTGATGATCCACTTTTATGGAATTCCTTCTCTCTCCTCTCCGGATTCCCCCGAGCAGTGTTTCTGCAGGCCTCTAAGTGTCTGAGCATAATAAAAAAATGCTTTTGCGTTGATGGATTTGATAGGGCTATGGATTCCAATATGTGGGTCGTGAGATCGTTGTGAAGTGGTATATGAACTAATAATCATTTATTTAATAATCCGAGATTGAAGAGATTACAGGTCCCATAAGCTTCAGCTGCACCGCAGGCTTACTGGCAGCCTGAAGAATCTTGGAAGGTCCTAACTACCCATGAATCTTAGGGTGATATTCCCACTGATACTCTGCATCCACCGCGTATAGAATACGCGCCTAGGTGATTGATTTAGTCCTGGATACGCTCGTTGACCATGGGCCGGTCTACAGTACTACAATGTTCAGATATATAAGAACTCAGACATGTCGAACTAAACAGACAAGCAAATCAATTTCACAAACTCACCCACGAATCTTCAATACCACTATCAATCCAACAAGTCATGAAGTTAAGCTTGTTCAATACAGTTCTCTTCAGCCTTACAGTCGGCTCGCACGGCTGGGAGCATAAAGCCCATGAGTTCCAGCCACCACTACCAGGAGACAGTCGGTCTCCATGCCCTGGTCTGAATGCCCTGGCCAACCACGGCTGGCTCCATCGCTCAGGGAAAGACATCGATCTACCTACGTTCCGATCCGCCATAGCTGGCGCCTATAACTACGAACCCACAACTATGGACGGGATTTTCGAGCTGGCTATGAACTTCAACCTCTCAACCACGGGGAACCAATCGACCTTCAACCTCTTTGATTTGGCAAGACACGACAAGATCGAGTTCGACGGGTCACTGTCGCGCAATGACATCTACTTTGGCGACAATGTGCACTTCGATCCTAACATCTGGGCGACGGTCGCTAAGAACCTCAACCTTGATGACACTCTCGGTTCTGAGGTGAACCAATATATCACCGTCGAGACGGCCGGTAAGGCTTGTGCGGCACGCGCAGCCCAGGCCAACAGGGTTAATCCCAGCTTCAATGCCTCCGCTATGCAAGTTATGGGCAACCCTGGTACAAAGGCTCTTTATTTAGTGACTTTATGGGATGAGGCCGCAGGTGCCGCGCCAAAGTCTTGGGTTAAGGCTCCATTTGGTATGTTCCGCAATCCTTGCTTGCTATATTAGCACCACTATGGTATATTGATGCTTACTATATGATAGAAGAAGATCGTATCCCTTACCTTGAGGGATATAAAGTGCCTAAAGTTGCAAGGACGATGGATGCTGTCAATGAAATGGCAAAGAGAGTCTCGGCGGTAAAGGTTGAGGTTTAGCAGAGAAGGCCTGATGTTTGTTCCAGCGCGGGGCATAAAGCATGTACTCCGTACGTGGTTATATTGAATCAGGTTTAGGTACCCTCGCAGTACTTTCCTAGTACTAAAATCTGAGTGGTAAACATGGATAAAGCACATCTATCAAATCTCCAATCCGGTACACCTGGCCATTTGCATGTAAATCTCAACATAATGATATTTGGTTTGGAATATAGATACGCGCCTAGCATCATTCATCCTGATCACGGTCCCCTCACAGCCTACTGGAAAGCCAACAGACCTAGTTGCCTGGTCTATATTAAATTTAATACTAAATCTACAACGGAAATCGAAAGCGGTTAATAGCGAGAAAGAAAAGCTCATTCGGACATACCGAAGACAAAAGGGAAGAAGAACCCCCACATTATGACATCAGAGATGGCCACCTTTAGAGCTGTGGCAAAGTTGTTAAGAATTCCAACCTTGGAAGGATGTTATAGCGTGCTCCGAGATTGATATCCATGGATAGATACATAAGGTACGGCCTAATGGAAAATGTACCCGCCCCGTAGATATTCGTACCCCCCCAGGTCCCCGACCGGGAACTCCAAGCCCTGAAAGTTGAGGTCAGTCCCGCCTTCCCGATCGAGTCGGGCCGAAAATTCTGCCCACATGCCGGTCTTGGCAATGACAATGACCGCCTATATATTCTGCCACTTTATATTTTCTGACCTACAATCTATCCAGTTTATTCAGTTTCTTCAGTCGTGGTTGTGTAGTAAAAGAGACATACTATTTTGTTGTAAAAATTTTATCATTGCGCTAGGTCCGTTCAGTAATCTAGTACAGGTTTATTATACTGGTTTTCTATGCTCATGTCCTCGACCGTCTGGCCACGGCGCCGATTTCGGGCCCTCTCTTGGCGTCTTTTGTGGGATTGCCTCGTGGCCTGTCTCGTTTCGAATCTTGGAACATACAGGGGTGGAAGTGGCGGAGTGGGGGGAGGAACGTAGAGTGGGGGGAGGAACGTGGAGTGGGGGGAGGAACGTGGAGTGTGGATTCGGCGACGATCTTAGGCGTTGAGTTAGAGAGTAGACAATCTAGTTTTGGACAAGCCGTTGTGGCGATAAGGGAGTTAGTAAAAAAAAAAAAAAACCAATTAATGGAAGAGTTGACGAGGCAGTTGGTGACAACATACATGTATATGGTGGATAAAAATTATAGTGACTTACTTTTATTAGCGCTTTACATACAAAGTACAGGTACCTACTACATATCCTGCTGCATAATGTGGCGGTGTATAAAGTGGTAGGGCAATTGGCAAAATATGGTATCAACGGCAGGAGCATTGCCTACTTAAGAAAATGCGCCTCAAATATTTGGGCAGGGGTTACGAATGGCCAAAGAGGGGTACGATTATCCAAGTTGGAACTCTGAATCGTATTTAATATTCATTTTCAGCACCATACCGTACGAATAGAGGCAGCAGCATGGCGTCTAAGGTTTTTCTTTTGTATAACAACCAATATAACAACATAACAATGATTAAAATTTGAGAAATTGGATCTACTTTCCAAGAAAAAATCAAAAATAACAAAAAGGGACCAAAAAGGACCAAAAAAGCAAAGCAATGTGAAGCTTCTAAACACGCTTGCCTTCAAATCCTTCGGCAGGCCATCCCTGGAGCGTATCCCCATCCTCAACATGGTCACCCGACAAGACTAGAGTATGCTCCAAGAGACAAGCGTCTTGGCCCATAGAAGCACCGGACATCAGGCGCGATCCAGCACGCAGGATACTCCGGTCCCCAACATTCAATGTATGCAGCTCAAAGCCACCACGCGAGTTCAAGTGGCAAACCAAACTAGCATCGTCGACAGCAACACGGTCACCAAGAGTGAGGAGGTCAGGCTCGGTGAAGAAGATACTGGGAGCACCGTTGGCATGAATTGCACAATCCTTTCCAATCTTCGCGCCCAAGAGCTGGTAGTACCAGGAGATGTAAGCAGAGCCGGAGATCATGGACAGAAGGCCAACTCCATCATAGCAGTCCTTGATCAGAGTCTCGCAGGAAAGGAGGAATTGCCAGCGCTGGTTGTAGCTGCTCTTGTCCCAGTGGTATTCGCCTTCCTTGCGGCGGCCGACGACCATCCATTTAATGCAGATAACGATGCCAAAGGCGAGGAAAACTTGAGCCGAGGTGATTATAGATAAGACCGAGGCGAGAGTGCCGTACAGGACGAATGGACGCCAGGCGCCTTGCTTGAAACCAGCAGCATCACTATAGTTTAGGATAGTGCGCAGAAGGAACAGGGAAAACAAGACGGTGAGAAGCCAGTAGACAGTAGTGACAATAACTGCAAAGGTAGAATAGATGACGATTTGCCACATGCGGAGGACATAATAGCTGGCCTCGTGGCGGTAGAAGGCGCGACCGAAAGGCTTGCAGGTATCCACCTCCTGCTCAGCGATCTCGGTAACGGTTCCATCCTTATAGGGCGTCTTCTCGATTGGTGATTTCTCGATTGGTGTTTTCTCGTCTTCACTGCTACTACTGTTGGGACTGCTGCTACCATCTCCGACGATGGTTGAAGCAGTGGAAGTGGTTGTCGAACTCGGGAACTGAATAGCCTCACCACCCTTGCTCCCAGTCCAAACAGTGTTGGCAGGATAGTCACCGTTACGGCGGAGCAAAGCACCGGAGCCGATCATGGCTTGACGGCCGATTGTGGCGCCGGGCAAAGCGACAACACGATCGCCAACCATAGTGCCGTCACCAATCACGATGCGGTCACGGCCGTAACCATCGGATGTGACCAGAGTCGAGCGAGATCCAAAGACAACATCATTGCCAACCTCAATGAGATCAAAGTCAACAGTGACGGGACCAACACTGGGCCAGTAGACATGTCTCCCAACCTTGCCACCAAGGGCACGGACGGCCATCGAGACAAATTCGTAATGACGACCAGTAAGGCGGGTGAGTTCGTGGATGTCTCCGGCCGGTAGAATCTGCGCAAGTACAGAACTCCGAATCTTTTGCCGAGTGGTCTGTTTTGAGGCAGGACCAGGCTTGGGCTTGCCACAGATGAGATCGAGGAAGCACTTGATGATCAAGACCGCAATGAAGAGCACAATCGGGCCACCAACAGCACGACAGATTCTTGCGGCAATGTGGAATGCAATCCGATTACCACTGGTGTACCAGTCTAGGGTAGAACGGAACATGTCGGCCGCGGGAGTAGGGAACTCCAGAACCATAGGGATAAGACCACCCATCCAAGTGATACGAGCGGCCGTCCATGTGATCAACTTGATTGGCTCAACGATCAAGACAACCCAGAGCCAGTGAGGTTTCGGGATCTGAGAGGTAAGCAATTGGCGGTTAGACTCATCGGCATCCCGGAGTTCCCAGCTCGAGGAGTTAGGACCGATGCAGGTATTCTCGGGGATATCGGCACCAGAAGCGACGACAGACTTTATGCCAATAGCCGAGTCCTTCCCAATGCGAATGCGCTTCAAAAGCATAGAGGTGTTGCGCTCGACGGCAAAAGGGGCGACACACGCAGGTATCCAACACAACATTATCCCCGATCTCAATCAGATCATACTCACCAAGTTTAGCGGATGCAGACATGGTAACATTTTTTCCAATCTTCGTGCCGAGCAAACGATAGAAAAGAATGCGAGACCAATTGTAGTTGTTGAAGATGCCCTTTCCACACACCTGCAATGCCTTCTGCGTCAACCACCAGCGAGTGTGGTAGGGGCCCCACATGGGTGACATTCCCTCCTTGTAGCGACCGATGACGAGCCACTTGAAGGTGATAGCAAAGATGGGAGACAAAATTTGTGAACATAAGCGAGCAGACATCACGGCGAAGACAACCAGCATCAAACGACCGATGAGGTTCTCACGGATGGGGAACCGATTTGAGCACTCGGCCACGACATATGCGAACATCATCCACTGGAAGGCGCGCTTCATGGGGAAAAAGAACACAGTCGGGAACAGATGGAGGATCAAAATAATTGGGTTCGTGCTGCTATATGTCTTCTCGCAACCTGGCAATTCAACTTCGCCCTCGTCGCCCTTAGCTGCTTTAACTTCAATGGCTTCAAGGATCTTGTGCTCTATCTCTCCAACGGTGCTGTGGTGGAAGAGAATGTCACCAGCCAGGAAAATACCAAATTCTCGACGAAGTTGCGAAACCAAACGACCAGCACTAAGACTATCACCTCCAGCAGCGAAAAAGTCTGTAGCAGAGGATATTTCCTCTGGTGCACAAGACAAGGCGACAGCGAATATCTCACGCACACGGCGCTGAGGGGGCGATATGTCACCATCTGAGTTGCGGGCGTGGATGGCCTCATTGATAGCGGCCTGGTCTGGGTTTCCGTAGAAATCGAGAGGCATCGGACCTTTGAGGGGAATGATACGGCTAGGTACGAGGTAGCCGTCAAGATGGTTGTGGAGCTCGCCAGGTGTCACATGGTCATCATCCGGGTTCTGGACAAACAAAACAACCTGCGCAAGACCGTCGCGTGGATTTATTTGGACGTGCACGTCAGGGGTATTTGCCTTTTCGGTAAGAACTGAGCGAATGACTTTCTCATCGACAACACATGCTTTCTTCTGGATCGATGCACTGAGCGGAGCACCAGTGGGTGGGCAGACAGCGTGGTAGTGGCGGTTCGCCAGGGGTGTGGTCGCGGTCAAGGTCTCCAAAGATAACCGATCTGCGAGCTTAATGCGCTGGATCTTGTTGTTTGCCTTCGGCACACCGTCCATGTATACAACCAGAGCGGGCCACTTGGGCTGATGGAGAATAGGCTGTAGAGCTTCGTGTATCTGCCGAAGATCTGGCCTAGTGGTGCCGGGAGGTGTGACTATAACCACACCGACGACTTCCTGTAGGACCTCGTCTGGGACAGAAAATGCCAATGTCTCAGTGACGCGACCATACAATGGGGACTCGGGGTCCTTGGCGGTGGTCAGCACGGCGTTTTCCACTTCGACTGGTGAAATGATTTCTCCACCACGGTTGATGACCTCCTTGCTGCGACCAGTGATGTACAGGTAGTTTTCGTCATCGAGATGTCCAAGATCGCCAGTATCAAACCAGCCAGATTCGTTGAATGCGTTGGTATCGATCTTGCCCTCTGCAGTCAGGTATCCCTCGAAAGCGGGTGATCCACGAATGCAGATATGTCCCAGCATCCCATTTTGCGAGACAGGCTTGCCACTCTCGGTTAGGATTGCAACCTCGGGACCAACGATCTTTCCCGATGTTCCAGGGCGATCAAGCTTATAGTCTCTCGGCGGCGCGGCAATAGGCATACATTCAGTCATTCCGTAACTGGGGAGGACGACGCAGTGGAAAACGTCATGGAGCTGCACCGCAAGAGTTGGAGGAAGACCACCACCGGCGTTGCAGATAAACTGGATGGCGCTTTGCTCAACAGCATCGGGGCGGTGCTCGGCTTCGGCAAGAATCATTTGGTGCATCGTGGGTGTGGCATAGTACCAAGTTGGTGTCATGTGAGGGCTTTGCACCGCATCCCAGAACATGCTGGGGTCAAACGAGGGGCAGCATATTGTGGAACCGCCGGCCAGGATGGGGGAGAAAATACTGCGCATGATACCACCACTGATATTGTTAGTCATTTTCCTATGATATAACTTGACAGGGAACATACACATGGTTGAGCGGCATCATATTAAGACATGTATCTGTCTCGGATAGTTCCACTGACTCCATGGTGGCGATGGTACCCGCGATGAGGTTGTAAGTTGTGATGGGAACCAGCTTCTTAGTGCCACTGGTACCACTGGTGAACAGGATGATTGCAATGTCGTCTCCGGAATTGGGGGGATGGTCGTATACACTAGAAGCATTGTGTGCAGACACCACCTGGAAAGTCATATCTTCAAGCTGCTCAATACCAAACACAGGCCGAATACCGTTGTTCAGCTGTAATTTGCTGATGTCAGCGTCCAGCGCGACAACAGCATCAGCTTGCGAGTTTTCGATATCTGTCTGCAGCTGCTCTGGCACCGTGTTCGTTGTCATAGGCACAATGGTGTACCTGTTGACGAAAGCAAGAACAGCAACTGCCATAAGAGGGCCGTTAGGCAGGATGACAGCGATGCGTGGCTTGCCATGGCGAGAGAGTCCAACGGGAATCTGGAAACTCTCCAAGAACTGACGGATGGCAATATGTGTCAGATGCCGCCCAGTATTGGCATCGATGAGACCGGCGCGGGAGTCTGTGCCTATTAATTCTGCAACGTTGGGTGTGGCTGCTTTGACTTGTGCCCGAAGGCGAGTAATCGATTCATTGTTATTAGTCTTTTGGGATTCGGGAATGGACTTGTAGATGTCCTGATATGTAGGAATTAGGTGACGGAGCGGCCAAGGGCCAGTTTGTGTGGATAATAGAGCGGAGAGGCGGTGGGAGGAGTCGGGGTGTGATGCCTCACTGCGGAGGTGTAGAAGCTGGTCTATAAGTCTGTTCGATAGTCAGAATCGGAAGAAACTTCAATTGAACAACTCAAAAAGGAGAACAAGGAACAAAATGAAAAAAGTGATAAAACATACGAAGATCTTGATAGGTCCGCCATTGTGTATCTCTAGTGTAAATAAATTCTCAACTCAATCTGATATACTACCCAAAAAGGAGAACACCTTCACGACTTATATGCTGCCCCGTTACCTAGTACCATCCACTATCAGCCTGATATACAACCCAAAAGGAGAAGTCCTTCATAACCAATACACTAGTTCTATCCACCCGATCCACCCACATCGTGCAAATTACATCACAGACCTCATTGGGGTCCCGAAATCCTTCAAAGTACGGCGGCAAACTCGCTCGGGGCCGAGAAGAGAAAGATCCGCAGGGTACTCCGAACCCTATGTGCCTGACCCACGGAATTCCGTTCATGGTCGGAGGGATCAACTCAGCCCTCGGATTGTACATCGTGCCGTTGGATGGGATGGTATTGGCTAAAGATACAGGCATCATGTCGTGTACTATGGCCTCGGGGGCCATGATGTGATCCGAACCGAGCGTTTTGATAGACATTGCAGTTTCATGGTGGTGGAATGTCACAATCGAACCCCTGTTTCAACTGAGCTTTTCGTTATTAAACTTTCTACTAGATATTTTCGAATTTCTTACTACTGAATGCAGTAATACCACCGGCCTGATCAAGATAAGCCTACTCTAAAATGGCCATTCCGAATGACACAGTGAGATTATCTGCATAATCAGAGTACATATATCTCTAGATCTGCATACAAATTTCACATGCTTCCTCCGAGTCTTTCCCTCGAGGAACATGTTTTTGCTCAATGATAATGTCTCCGATCCACTGAAGAACTGAACAAATGCAGAGTCGCAGGATGGCAAGGTCTCAGGATTAGTTCTGATCGACAATCTAGAACCCTGCCAACACTGCAGATCGCATGGCTCTAAAAAAGGGAAATGCTGCATGTCGTGCGCTTCCACGAGATTCGGGCTGTTTACGGAGTATAGAGATAGAGAACCTTCTGGGGTCGACCCAAACTCTTGAAAGCGACCTGTATACGGAGTATATATAACGTAAATGGTCCACAAGGCGATGGTGGCAAGAATATCTCCTAGAAATGAAGTTGAATTTGGCCATTATCCACATTTGGTTTCCAGAATAATATCGAATGTGTAGTATGATCTACACCCGCCCTAACCTATAGGGCAAAATATTGAGCACATGTAACAGGCCACCCCACTTACTAGCCGTTCATGGAGATTCCAGGGTTACATACATAGTATCGGACATAGCTCGTACTCCGTACGGAGTACGGAATAGATAGCCCTGGGGACCCACTTCCCGTACGAAGGCCGGTCCTCGCCAAGCGTCTTGGCAACGGGTTGAAGGTCTTGGCAACGCCTGGGCAGGTACACCCATGGAAATCCTCTTTTTATCCATGGATAACCCAGTTTCTCCATTTAAAACCAGTTTGTTCGGCACTATTCTTCCCCGTTAACTGGCCGTTCCAGGCCTATGCCACTAAAATTCCACGCGGTCTGTGAGCCATAATATTCTATTTTATCAGTGGAATTGATCTCGACCTCGGGACGTTGAAACCGCCGATCACAAACCGCCGATCTCAAATGAGGCCAACGCTACCCAATACGACCAACTGGCCTCGACTAGGGAATCCTCACGATCCAAAACCGGGTTAATATTCAAGCCTGCTATTACAAATCGAATAGATTGATTCTAACATACTCCGGATGTTGCTCCCAATGCATGTGCATAGCATGCATAACATGCATACCTAGGTAGCACGATGGCAAGTGCCGGGATCGTATTGGTCGAAAAACCGTATTATATTCCTAAAACTACGATTATAGTATAATAGGCCAAAGATTTTTCTAATTATCCCAGTACTTGATTAAATTATAACGGCAGAAAGTGGCATTTGTTCTCGATCCCGGGTTACCTTGGGCAGTGTGCCTGGACTGTTCCAATTCACATACGGTTAAATCGATTCAATTAGGCCATAAATTCCGACAAATACTCTACCTTCCTATTTGCACACCTTTCGCCCTCAAGGTTTCATACGTCGTCACCACCTGAAAGTAGAAATTAGGGATCAAAAATCGCGCCGAATAATCCTCTAGCGTGAAATCGAACACATTCCTTCCAATCGGAGCCTTAAAAGATTGTCCTTCCTTGATGGCGATCTTAGCTGGATCGACCTTTTCAAATCCCGCGAGTGTCCTATCAAGGCGCTTGGAAAAATCTCCGTAGGTCTTGTCGGGCTCTTGCTGTGGCGGTGGTTCGACTACTGTTGCGCGAGCGAGGGCCTTGGAGACGATCTTTGTTGCCGTCACAATTTGGACGGATGGAGGCTTCATATCCTCGACAAGGCGGGCAGTAAGAAGTTCATCGAGCGGGAGGTTTTTTTCTTTCGGCTATTCTTCGGTCCTCTTTAGAACGGTAGATAGAGTATTGAGACACCCCCTGGTCAGAGTGGCCATAGTGTAATTGTAGAATAGGGAGTCCATTTTTGAGTTTTACACTTCAACTTGTGTACTTTAACTCTGATAAAGGCTAGGAGTCAAACAGATTCCCATGAATTTCTTGATCGTGAACTAATACCATCAGAAGGAACTAGATAAGGCCTTATATACGATATCCTGTCCTATCCCCCAAGAAAAGAAATCTTTTATTTGCGATCACTGATTGTCTCCTTGCCTCATCTACCATGATCAATGGTGTATTTGGTAAGGATCTACATGATTACTAGACTATATCCGGTCCTCCCGGGCTGGACCGATCCGGTTCAGTTGGTATATTCTACTTGTTTTCAGCTGCAAGTGTGTATGGTATTCGGTGGTGAAGGAGGGATCTCCTGATGCTCTGTTGTATTGTGCAAATTTATAATCAATTGGCCCGAGACAACAACTCTACAGTGTGTCTGGCAAATTGGAGTCGTAATTCTGGAGCAAATGGTTCTCTGATGTCAGCTTATATTTAAATTCGCATCTTATCAGAATCAGTACCATTTCGATCCACGTCATCTATACCTGCGAAAGTCCCAGTCGTAAGACCATGCTAGAACAGACGAGTCGCACTGTGTCAATAGCCTGATCCCGAGTAATCGCCAAAACAATAGAGGTAACTACATTTGGTCATGAGGTCATGAGCAATGCAATTGCAAACATTGGAGTGCATTTGATTACGAATTCCTACGTAGAACTACCAAGAATAGAGCTTGCAGATATATAGATCGGATGCCGGCTTACTACCTAACTCGTTAGAGTCGTTCATGCCTTGCCGTTGATTTCAATTTTCATATGCTTTGCCACCAGACAAAAACTCGTCATAATTAAAAAGTTTTTCCATGTTTCAGGACCCCAACAAGGTGATAATAATCATTCCAGCCGAAGGTACGAACCCCGAAAGTGGGGAGGTGGCAAAGATGGATGAATTCCCAGGTGGCAAAGATAGCTTCCTAATTAGATTCTACGTGTATTGCAATTCTCCAAATTTTAATCCACTCAAGTTCGAGGTCAAAATGTCGAATTCTTAATACTCGATTGTTATGATTTTGGATTTAATTACAAGACAAATGCATTCAGATTTTGTCACTCAGGAATGTAGTAAAAGCTTGTTCTCAGACAAGATCCCATCTACAGTGGGACCTCCGAGACGTTGGGCTGAACTTCTTTGTGGGTACGAAGTTCAGCCCAACATCTCGGAGGTCCCACTATCGATCCCAAATTTGAGTCCATCGTGAGTCCTCTTACCTTCTACAACGGTCTAGTATGTTTAAATAGTCCCAATTTGCCAAGACCGGCATGTGCGAGTCCCGGCACTCATTCTAAATCTCGACCGATCAACTATTTCTTATTGAACATTCCTAGACCATAAATTGGGCCGTGAATATTTCGTCTACTTGCTTGGTCCTCCGGTTGTAAATTGAAAATTTTTCGATATATTTTTTGAAGCCTTTTTCCGCATTTCCCGCATCTCCCCCCTTTTTCTGGTCTCCCATTTACATCGATTCAGCTACACAGATCGTGTCGCCCTTAAGCACAGAGGACACATACGCGGCCAGCTACTCTTGTCCCTGATTATACAAATTCTGTTCGGTTTATATTGTGGCCGCCTTCGTATATCGTACTTCGTAATCTGACTCCGCGTTTCGTATAACTATTATGCACCGTACTACATAAGTACGCAGTATTCCAATTTTCGAATTCACACTCCTGGTGGTAGTCTTGCACATAACCGAACGGAAAAAGCTCGGGCAAAAAGAGGTATCGGAGTATATCTTACGTGAAACGAAAATCTATAAGGACCTTGTGATTCTAGTAACGGAAAGAGCATATCAGTGGCGCTCAAACCGAATCACATTCACCTCGATTATTGACGAAGTTCCGCGGTATGCCGAACATCCCTCAAAAGAATGTCGGAAGCAGAGTGGATCGGGGCCTGAACATCTCGCGTAAGATCCCGAGCTATACTATGTTGGTGGTGGAGAGGGACATGTCGGGTTAGTCCACCTGGGGGTAGGATTTGGACAAACCGAAGTCCTTTTCAGTCAAATCTACTTGCTCGCCACTCAGTAACAAAATGTTGTACCACTTGAAGAAAGATCCTGAGGCACTCAGGCATGAATTCAGGCATCAAGGCAGTAAGGCACTAAAGCCTTGGAAGCAATGCCAAGAGAATCATAGCCCTAAAACTTGACAAGAAAGACAACTTCTCTTTCTTGCAATCAATGAACTTAATATGTGATTCATTCATTTATTGATTGTACCAGACTTTAATTTTCAGTCCTAGTTCGTGACTACAAAAGACTACGTGTGCGACACAATAGGCTGCACCACGAAATATATGAATTGAGTTTGGTTATATTAACGATCCATGATGTGGTATATGATACAGGGAATCTGTTATAGACAGTCTTGCCGTTGAAAGACCGCCTCTTTCTGTTTCGCCTCATAAAACGAGAACCGTTGTGGGTAAATAAAGACAAGTCGTCGGATGTGGATGATTGGTGAAAGTGGAGGTGACCAAGCACCAGCATCGAGGGACAAAGCTTTGGCCGCCAAGGCAAAATGTCTTAAGAGTCTTCTTCAATAGGTATACGATATCACCTCTTCCTGATGAGCAGCCTCCTTGAGAGATCATCCTACAGAGCTCTTGGCGGTAAAGTTCGGCTCTTTTATTTCCTCCTCTTAAAGGGCAAGGCATTGTGGGTTGTCAAATATGGATGATTCATTGGAGTGGTTCAATGCTTCAATTGCATAGTTGGTTGAAGGGGATGATTTATGATAGACCAGCCTGCCACGGTGGGAATGATGGATGTGGATGGTCGCAGTGGTTGATCAAAGTGGTCGATCGACGTGATTGCGACCAGTCTGCCGATTGTCCTAAGGCCGGAGTCCGCCATGATCAGAGTAGTTGGAGCAAGGTGGATGATGGTCAAAGCAGTGGATGGTTCATCGGTGGATGGGTGATGAAGGGGGCATAACCAGTCTGCCGATTGCCCTGAAGCCGAAGCCCGCCACGGTCAGACTAGTTGGGATCGAAGTGGATTGATGGTCGAAGCGGTGGATCGTTGAAGGGGTGGATGGATGGAGGATCGAAGTAGATAGTCGAAATAGTTGCAACTAGTCTGCCGATTGCCCTGAAGCCGAAGCCCGCCACGGTCAGACTAGTTGGGATCGAAGTGGATTGATGGTCGAAGCGGTGGATCGTTGAAGGGGTGGATGGATGGAGGATCGAAGTAGATAGTCGAAATAGTTGCAACTAGTCTGCCGATTGCCCTGAAGCCGTAGCCCGCCACGGTCAGACTAGTTGAGATTAACGTGGATGATGGTCGAAACTGTGGATGGTCGATCGAAGTGGGTGGTTGATCGAGTTGGATGATCGAAGGGGTAAAACAGCCCGCCACGGTCAGACTAGTTCGGATCGAGGTGGATAACCGAGGTGATAGTTGATGCGGTGGACCGAAGTTGTTGTAATTACTCTGCCGATTGTCCTGAGGCCGGAGCCCGCCATGGTCAGAGTAGTTGGTATCGAGGTGGATGGTCGAAGCGGTGGATGGACGATCGAGATGGAGTGATGAAGGAGGCATAACCAGTCTGCCGATTGTCCTGAAGCTGAAGCCCGCCACGGTCAGACTGGTCGTGATTGACTTGATTGATCGAGGTGGATAGTCGAAGTGGTTGCAACTAGTCTGCCGATTGTCCTGAAGCTGAAGCCCGCCACGGTCAGACTAGTTGGGATCGAGATGGATGGTTGATCTAGGTGGATAGACGGTCGAGATGAATGCTCAAACCGGTGGATGGATGATCGAAGGGGGTAGGGGTATAACCAGTCTGCCGATTGTCCTGAAACTGAAGCCCGCCACGGTCAGACTGGTCGTGATTGAATTGATTGAATTGATTGATCGAGGTGGATCGAAGGGGGTATAACCAGTCTGCCGATTGTCCTGAGGCCGAAGCCCGCCACGGTCAGACTAGTTGGGATCGAGGTTGGATTCATAATCGAGGGGGTGGTTGATCGAGGTAGTTTAGTGAAGCATGGATGGAGGTTGTAACTACTCTGCCGATTGTCCTGAAGCCGGAGCCCGCCACGGTCAGAGTAGTTGGAGCGAGGTGGATGATCGAGGTGGATGGTAGGATTGGTGGCTGGACGATCGAAGGTGGTAGAACCAGTCTGCCGATTGTCCTGAAGCCGAAGCCCGCCACGGTCAGACTGGTTGAGATTGAAGTGGGTGATCGAAGCGGTGGATGGACGATTGAGATGGACGGTTGATTTAGTGGGATGATCGAAGGGGGTAGAACCAGTCTGCCGATTGTCCTGAAGCCGAAGCTCGCCACGGTCAGACTGGTTGAGATTGAAGTGGATGATAATCGAAGCGGTGGATGGTTGATCGGGTTGGATGATGAACGGGTTGCAACCAGTCTACCGATTGTCCTGAAGCTAAAGCCCGCCACGATCAGACTGGTTGAGATCCAGATGGATGATAATCGAAGCGGTGGATGGTTGATCGGGGTGGATGATGAAGGGGTTGCAACCAGTCTGCCGATTGTCCTGAAGTCGAAGCCCGCCACGGTCAGACTGGTTGAGAGCGAGGTGAATGGTTGGTCGAGGCGGTTGATTGGAGCGGTGGATGGATGATCGAAGTGGTTGCAACTAGTCTGCCGATTGTCCTGAGGCCGGAGCCCGCCACGGTCAGAGTAGTTGGGATTGAGGTGGATGGTCGAAGCGGTGGATGGACGATTGAGGTGGATGTTTGATCGAGATGGAGTGATGAAGGAGGCATAACCAGTCTGCCGATTGTCCTGAAGCTGGAGCCCGCCACGGTCAGAGTAGTTGGGATCGAGATGGATGGTTGATCTAGGTGGATAGACGGTCGAGATGAATGCTCAAACCGGTGGATTGATGATCGAAGGGGGTAGGGGTATAACCAGTCTGCCGATTGTCCTGAAGCCGAAGCCCGCCACGGTCAGACTAGTTGGGATCAAGGTTGGATTGATAATCGAGGGGGATGGTTGATCGAGGTAGTTTGAAGCGTGGATGGATGACCGAAGTGGTTGTAACTACTCTGCCGATTGTCCTGAAGCTGGAGCCCGCCACGGTCAGAGTAGTTGGAGCGGTGGATGGACAATTGATGTTGATGGTTGATCTAGAGGGGTGATGAAGGGGGTATAACCAGTCTGCCGATTGTCCTGAAGCTGAAGCCCGCCACGGTCAGACTGGTCGTGATTGAATTGATTGATCGAGATGGAAAGTCGAAGTGGTTGCAACCAGTCTGCCGATTGTCCTGAAGCCGAAGCCCGCCACGGTCAGACTGCTTGTGTTTGTTTGGATTGGATGGTTATTTCAAGTGTTGATTAAAGTGGATCGTTAATTGTTGTGCATTGTAGTTGAATTGTTGATTGATTGAATGATTCATTTGATGCTTGATAGACTGGATGATTGCGTTGGATGATTGATTGGCTTGGATGGTGGGATGGTGGGATGGTGGGATGGTTGGATGGTTGGATGGTTGGATGGTTGATGGTTGGTTGATTGATTGCGTGGTTGGTTGGATTGGATGATTGAAGTGTTTAGTATTGATTGCATTATTCATTGGATGGTTGGATGGTTGGATGGTTGATTGGGTGGTTGGTTGGTTGGTTGGATTGGATGATGAATTGAAGTGTTGGTTGGATGGTTGGATGGTTGATTGGGTGGTTGGTTGGATTGGATGATGTGTTGAAGTGTTGATTGGGTGGTTGGTTGGATTGGATGATGTGTTGAAGTGTTGATTGATCGAATGATTGGATGGTTAGTGGGATTGAATGGTTGAAGTGTTTTCTTTTCTTCTTTTTTTTTTCTTTGTCACCCTGACAACAAGTCATGAGCCTGTCAAGTGCAAGATGGAAGGAGTCAAGTGCAAGATGGAAGGAGCACGTGGTTGAGATGTCTGCACCATGAATGTAAGTAGATGGAAGGAACAAAAAAGGAAAATAAGAGACGGGCAAAACATACAAGTCATATGATGGATGATGAATATGGTAGGTGCAACCGAGGCAGGCATGTTGAAAGTATACGTATGTTGTTATGTGGTGAAGTTACCTAAAAGATGAATGTAAGGAAAGAACAGGAAAGTCGGAACTAGATGGCATAACTGACCAGGCATGTGATGCATGTGGACGGGCTGAAGGCCAACGCGTCAAGGGCATGGTGGTCACAGCTTCATTTTATCAGGTGTGGATGTAGAAAGATAGAATAAGTGATGAAGCTTAAGCAGATGATGGAAGACCTGATGGAAGGTATGGGGTGGATAAAATATTTGATGAAATGTTTGGTGGGTGGTACTCGTAAATGGAGATGTGGGGAGATGAAAAGGGAAGAAAGAAAAAGAGAGAAGGGGGGAGGAGGGATATTTATACCCTGGGTAGGCACGTAACTAACGTGGAAGTTGGAAGCAGTTACCTAATTAGGCGACGGGGGTGTCCTTCAGGTGACCCCCCATTATCTAACTTCCCCTCTTCAACTATCCACTCTCTAATTTCACCCCCTTCCAAGGATCTTATGATCATTAAGACGATAGCGTAGTCTTGAATCGGTATTGTCTAAATTCGCAAAGAGAAGGTGAGACGATGTACGCTACTAGACAATAATTTTGTCAGTTCTACATGTCGACCTACCCTTCGATCACGTTCTACTTCTGATACTATCTAGCTACGTCTTATAGAAACGCACTATGTTGCCGATTGAAAATATGGGTCATTGGGATGCGGTGCGGAAGATTTATAGATCATTAAGGTTACACGCTAACTATGTGTGGTATGGCGTATATACCTAGGTGGGTTCCTGCACGGTCCATGTGTTATGTAGTGAAAGGCCTTGGCATCAATGTATTTGATGTCTACCTTAGTACAAAGTTCTGACCATGCTCCAAGCAATAGAGATCGACTCTTTTAGTGGGTAGCAGGGCGTAGGGTATATATGTGTTCCACAAAGTTCGATTCTTATACGCGTTACTAGGGAAGACACGTTCCATCTTCTCAAGTGTTCAATTGATTTAGTGTGACAATCTGGCCTTGCCTGCTAACATGTTCCCTATCACATGGATAGACCAGTCAATAGAGGTCGAACATCTGATATTCAGACGTTTTACTCAGAAATGAGTATGCTTTAAGATCTCAATTTGTCAGAAGGGACTAAATCGAAGTGTATGGTTCATTGTTAAATTGTATTTAAGTAGAGAGTTGTGAAAGCTAAGTTACAAGGGTAGATCTACATGGTGGACGTCGAAGTGCATGGTGCAATGTGAGATTGAATTGTGTAGAGAGTTAACCTACAGAAGCTAGGAAAGAGACTAAGAAATTCGACACCCCCCACGAACATGGAACTATGAACTTGTGTGTCCCCCTACGAAGAGGCAAACCCAGTGGTTGAAGAGGTTATTGTAGCATGCAACGTGGTTTCTAAGAAGAGCATTGGCTGTAGTAGGCTTGTTAGTCGTAGTGGAAGTTGAAGCCGAAGTACTGACCGTGTTAATCGGGGGATAAATTTTGAAGATAAGGTGCGTCGAATAGAGATGTACTCACCGCGTGGCTAGCGGATTGTTGTGTAGGGTGCGTCGAAGGAGAGGCACTTGTGTGTGATGAAAACTCGTCTGTAGGAGTTTTCGGGGGTATCCTGGCCGGTGAGAACGATGGTGACGATGATGATGATGACGGCTTCTATGGAGGGGCCGATGGAGGATGAAGCCGACGATGATAAGTAAGGTTGCATAGAGCGTCCAAGTGCTTATAACCTGTTAGGAGAGGTCTTGGTGGACGTCGAAGTACATAGTGCAATGTGAGGTTCATTGGGTAGAGGGTTAAGCTACAGAATCTAAGAAAGAAACTAAGAGACCCGATAGGTCTGACACTCCCACGAGCATGAAGCCATCGACTTGTGTCCCCTCACGGAAAGGCAAACCTAGTTGTTGAACAGGTTGCTGTAGCGTACCATAGGTTTACGGATAATAAGAGCATTGGGTGTAGTGGGCTTGTTGGTAATTGTGGAAGCAGGAGCTGGCGCTTTGATAGCTGGAAGATTGACTGTGTTGGTGTTAAGGATCTCCAAGAAATGAGGTGTCCCGAGGTTTCGAGAGCGTACTTGAGTGCTGGACCACGGATCGAAATTGGATTTGGCGATGGGGTGGGGACGAGCTCTGAGAGATTGGCTCCGCGCAAAGCTAGTTGTGGAAACCCTTTTGCAGGGTGAGGTACGTCGAATGGAGAGGTACCGACTGCGTGGGTAGCGGATTGTCGTGTGGTGTGTCGAATAGAGAGAAAGTTTGACTGTATGGATAGTGGATTGTAAGAAGAAAACTCTGCTCAAGAGGCGCTCGCTTAGGGTCTGTGGATAAGATCGTTTGTATTGAGGTAGGTGACACTGTTCATGGATGTTTGTGGGGTAGCCTGGCCGATTGACGTTGATGGTGACGGGGATGGTGGTGACGGGGATGGTGGGGATGGTGGTGATGGGGATGGTGGTGATGGGGACGATGGTGACGGGGACGATGGTGACGGGGACGATGGTGACGGGGACGATGGTGATGGTGACGATGGTGATGGCTTCGAATAGAGAGGCCGTTGGAGGACGAAGAGGAACAATGTGAGACTGTATTGGGTAGAGAGTTATGAAAGCTAAAGTTACAAAGACTAAGAATCCGACTTAATTGCCTCTATCCATTTGACATCTGACGAATCTGGTACTGAAAGCAACTTTAGGAAGGTTGCCCGCTCTATGCAGGGGAATCGGGATGGAAGACAAAATATCAGCCGCCAGCGGAGACTTGTTTTAGATTTGCTTCAAGGAGATAAACCGCGCCGTAGCCACCGGATTCTTTTATTCGAAATACTTCCGACCCTCTTCAAATATCTTCCTCCGCGGATAAATGCCATCCCGCTTAGTCCTTGGTAATTAAATAGCCTCATATAAAGCACATTTTTCAACTTCTGTTGAAACATTGGTAGACGTTCTGAAGAGATCATCGTGTAATGCTAGCCATCCACCTTATGGAACTTGGGGTCATTGCTGACAAACTCTCCTTAGGTTTCCTTCTAAATGTCAATGTTGGGAAAATATGGTACTAGACATACTGTATAACTATAAGCATACACTAATATCTTACTAGATCTTCTTTTTTAGATGTTCTTCTTAGGGTCTTTCTAGTTGTCTTTCTAGTTGTCTCTTTATATATCTTTTCTAAGGCATTATAAGGCATCATCTATGAGAGAGTTATGTGATGGTGATCCCTATAATCGCTCGTCTATGGGTCGAGTGGAGTCCGACCAAACCTACAGGATTAGCCACGCTTCCATACACTTTTCTATGAACATAATAACGTCATTGCTATTCCTTAGTTGACTGACTGATTTATTAGCGACATAGTCAATCAATAAGGAATTAGTTATCATCACTTCTCCGTGTTATATGTCTACAGTCTGATACCCGTGGAATTTACTACTGCGAAGATGTCTTCCAGCTCATGTGAACTCCTTCAGGAAGACAGTTTCTTACAAAACCTCCCTTCGAATATACCAAAGTATAAATATGAAGGAGAAACGCAATTCTGCATGATCATGGATATAGAGCTCCGCCGGCTTGAAAAGTCCATGATTGCTCAAGCCCAGCAGCGAGCTGCTCCTCAGGAGAAAGCCGACCGTCCAGGAATTAAGGACGATTCCCTGTTGTCTCGCCACATCCAAAGGGGGAATAGACAGCAGAACCCTTCACGTCGAGTCACGCGTTCCTTCCTAAAAAGCGAATCGCCTAACTTCATTTCTGTCCACCAGCCGCGCGACTCACTTGGTCAAACTGACAATAGTCCAGACGGCGAGCTTCCTTGTGATTGCATCCTCTTCTACATCCCTAGCCATTCAATCCAATCCGATATTCTTGATTCATCTGTGCTATCTCGTCCCAACCGCTATTCCTTCGATCTCGCAGCAAACCTTCTGCTTGTTAAGATGGTCACAAAAATTCACTCCGACATCGGTCAGTTTGTCAACATGGCGCTGATCCGCGTTATTACCCAGATGGGTCTTGCAAGCTCCATTCGATTCTACGCCGGGGCCACAATCAGGGAAGAGGGCCGTGGCAAAGAAGGAGATCAGGGCTGGGGACCTCTTCCAGTTCCCCAAGGCTTTCCCGATAAGCCTACTGTGACTCTCGAGGTGGGGATTTCCGAATCTCAGATGAAGCTCCAGCGGGACGTTCACTGGTGGCTGGACCCAGCCAAAGGCGATGCCAACACAACAGTCACAATCAAGGTCGACAGGAAGCGTCCCCGGCTTATGATTGATCGATGGGAGCGCATCGATGGGGTGATTCAAATTACACAGCAGATCGAAATCTCAAAAGTCAATGGACAAACGGAATTGACCAATGACTCTCTGACGATTCCCTTTGAATCTCTGTTCCGACGGCAGCCAGCTGGTAATGAGAATGACATTGCTCTGGATAGAGGGACTCTTCAGGAACTAGCTGAGAGAACATGGAATTCACAGGGGTTTTAAGATGAGGTTCTCTGATTGTTCCTCGCTAGTTATGCCCTGGATATTATACTTATTGTCAAAGTCCAATGTGGAATATAATATGTCCAGGGGCATTCTGCCGGGGGTCAGGCATTATACCAAGACTTATACCCGGTTCTTGCCAAGTAACCCAACCCCCTGCGGGTCTTGGGTTACCACACACTAACGTAAACTCTTGCCTAACGTAAAATGTACCTTTTACTGGTCATTCACATATAAAAGGTACGTACGGCCTATCATCTGTCAAAATTCGACAAAAATTGATAAAAATAAAATGAATCCGATAATACTATTTTATCTACATATAGAAATAGATAGCACTATTTTAATATCTGAAACCGGCGTTATCGTGGTGTTATATCACGAAGGGGTTTTGAACAGCCTCCAAAAGTTGTTCGCGCTATATATTCACAATCCCCTCTCTAGAGATTATATTTTATTATAGAGAATATATATCTCTTGATACTTAGCATTCTAGTACTGAGACTATAATTATCCTCGAGAGTCGAGAAACTCTAATTTTCTGGATGTACCTTTTATATGTGAATTACTAGTAAAAGGTACATTTTACGTTAAGCAAGAGTTTACGTTAGTGTGTGGTAACCCAAGACCCGGTTGGGTTACTTGGCAAGAACCGGGTAGAGGCCAGGGTTCAAATCAACATGGTTTGCTGCCTTACTGCCTGACTTTAGAACAGCAGAAAAATTAAAATACCTGAATTTCTATTACAGATGCCTTAGTAATCATATAGTGACTCCGCAAAAGTGTTAACACCCTTCTGCTACCGCCCCTTACCCCTTATGTTTTATTGGTGGATATCTAGCTGGCCGGGGTTCATTTGTATGGAGGTGAAAAGCTTCATTTTTTGGCACCTGCGACCGCCAGAAAACATGGAGATACCTCACTTTGTATGGAGGTGAAAAACTTCATTTTTGACGGCTGTAGTATCAATAAATTTACCATACACTGTATAGAGCAGTGTAAAAAGCGGTGCAAAATAAGGCACTCAGGCATCAACAACCATCTATAATGGTTGATTTGAACCCTGGCCTCTATAAGTCTTGGTATGCATTATTAGGGGATTTTCCCTATTGTCGGAGCCCGATAGAATTGAAAAGAAGGGTTCTTAGGCGACAGTAGTCGACCCCGAGTATGACCTAGGTACGAAGCCCAGACTCAGAAGACCATCCTATCAGTGATATATATACGGGCGACTAAATATGCCACCGGGCGCATAACACTCTCATTGGTTTAGGCAATAATTTAGATCTACTCTCACTTCACAAGTATCCTGTTGAATCTATAGTTAAATGAATACTATATTAATTTTTTAAAACCGGGCTCTTTATAACTCCTAAATTTTAACTCTTAACTGTTGATTCCTTACTATCCTACTATCTCAATCTGAATTGAATCTGAAGTGAATCTGAAGTAAATCTGAAGTAAATCTGAAGTAAATTTGAATCTGAATTGAATTGTATTATAAAGTGTATACTACGTAGTATAGAAATAAAAGAAAAGTTAAAATTAGTAAATGCTTCAAGAAGGCGAATGAGAGATATTTAATCGCCCGTACCCATACCCTAGTTCTGCCGGAAGAAGCCGCCGTGGAGCGGGTTATCTCTGGTCCCGGAATCCCTGCCCGTCACAATGTCTTGTTATCCCCATGTCGCCAAACGCCTCGGGCTACATATGTATTCACCACGTCAGAAATGTCCACGTCAGGAATGTCGAAGTCTACATTTCATACCTGCAACGGTACCGACATGAAAGATGCCGTTATATCGAACTACCTGGAAGATCTCGGGCCGCTAAAGAGTGCACTTGACAATTGCGCCCTTGCAACTGCCAGCCAAGTCGCTCTTGAAAGCCATTATGGACCTCCAGATCTCAAAGACCAGGTGATAGCCACAATTGCTTGGCAGGCGACCCAGATGCAACGAGTTAGCCAATTGCTGGAACATCTAGCCCAGCAGAGACTAGTCACGGACTTGGTCGACGTGGAAATTGCCAAGCAGGCACTAGCAGACCACGGAGAAGACATTGTGGAGCCCTTGGTGGAGATATTTAGAGAGGGCGATAAACTGAGTTGTTTGATGAACACCCCGACTGAAGACTATATCGGGGTGCACTTCGATACGGCAAAGAGCAGACTAGTTGAAGTCTTGGCCTATAACCGGCTGATGTCCCCCGTACAATTTTGATCTCGATCGCGTGGTAGAAGAGGTCTTGATGTGTGTGTTTTTATTTCTCGTCGCTCTTCTTCAGCATAAGAATGAGTGTACCTAATTCATTGCTACCAGAGACCATTATGATTGAAAGATCTCTTGGTAATTTGATGTTACAAACCGTTCGTCGTATAGCTCAGTCAGGCACATGTCCCTATGACAGATCTGCCCCATAACAATAAGATCATTTTTACTGACCAGGCTTCCATACTTCCACCCGGCGCCAGGTTGTGGTGACTTCTGCATGTTCAAGATCCGCTGGGTATGGCCCTTATTGTGTGGTCTGTGACTGTTCAAATGGTTCACGTTGGTCCCCAATTCGATTGTTTTCTTTCCGTGTGATATCTTTTTCTAAATTCCCTCTCCTTCGTTTTCATCCTCAGAAATGTCTAAATGTCTATAACGTCTTCCCGCTTCTTTGTAAGCTATGTAAAACTTTTTGTATACTCGGTGATGCTGCGGACAATATTGGTTACCTAGTTCTCAACGAGACTGACAATAATCGGCTTCTCCTAGATTCAGAGCAAAGCAATTGACAAGTTGGATGATAATTCCTACTTCATGTGCAATACCTAGACCGAAGATAACGTAAAACTTAACTATTGGCATAAACCCTCAATGACGCGTCACTACGATCAGCATTTGTAGATTATTTTACGACCCAAAGACAGTTAGTTCTAGGCCCATAGATGTTCGCTTGGATATTATTGGTTTTCTCCTTTTATCCCCATGGGCCCAGGTCCTACATTTTATTACGATCGGCACGGTAATATCAATAAGGGTCCGGCTTTAAGTGACCCGGGATCGGATGGATATACTAACACTTTCTATAATTTTAATACAAGGTTTACCACTATGTAGTCAGTGAAGAGGTACCTCATAGAATTCACGGGTTGAAGCAACTAAAATCGAAATAAATTGGCCGCTTCCTGGCCTCAATAGGTATTGAATAATGTTACTGTTTCTCGTATACTATCCAGGTCTCAAGGGAAGAGTTATGGAGTAGCGGATGGGGTTCAACTCCCGTGGCCTGAGGCAAGCAGCAGAACCCACCTCTACCACTTTCCTCCACATCCTCTCTCGCTTCTTTTTCCTATTGTTCCGATGTGTTCAATTCTCACTTTCGTTAGTTCAGAAAGACGCCGTCTTGAGTTTTTTTGTCAAGATCTCGTCGAGGCGAAGCCGTGAACCACCTACAGGCTCTAAGTCCGATTAGCTGGTTCCTTCTGGCCCATACTAAACACCCACATATATACAGACGGCGCTAGCGTTTGATGTCTGACGATCTTGTCCGTGCTCTCAAGCAGTAGAAACTTTAGAATTTCCCGAAATGCGGCCTAAACTCAGTCCACAGTCTGCAATGGCCGATATATGGACCCAGGATATCCTAAGTTTAGGGGGGATAAAGGTGCATCTTCCCTATTCTGTTTCGCGATCAGCTTTTCAGCCACTACAGCTCATGTATATCTTTAATGACCGAGGCCCATTCTATGTACCTTTGCCGAGCGGGATTCAAGTCAACTTAACTTCATAACTATGTGGACCCCTTCTTGCCTCCAATTAAATATCGCTCCATGCCACGTTCCACATCCACCCCACGTTGGGGACCCCTTGAGGCGCATGGATGGTTCGCAACGCTCTACAACAAGACCTCCTGGCATCGCCCCTCTTAAAGAACCTTAATAAAGTGGATATCTGCTCCACAACACTGCAGTCTGGCGAGGGTATTTAAACAGTCACCACTCTCGTTTGCTTTCTATTCATTACAATTGCAGCAACTCCAGAAACCAACATCACCATGCAGTTCTTCATAGCCACTCTGGCCCTTGTCGGCTCTGCCGTCGCCTTCCCTCAATCTTACTCTATCCTTCCTACTTCGTCAGCCACTCCTATGTCGTCGACCCCTGTTTCGTCGACCCCTGTCTCGTCAACCCCTGTCTCGTCGACCCCTGTCTCGTCGACCCCTATCTCGTCGACCCCTGTCTTCACTTCCAAGCCTTCTTCGTCCTCTGCGGTACCCGAGTGCAGCGTCGACTCTGACGGCGACAACGGCAACCACAACGGCTGGTGCAAGGGGGCCAACCACTGGGGCACCTACAAGAACGGCAAGAGCGGCGACGCTGACGACCTCGGCCCTAGCGAGGAGAACTAAACGCTTTTTTCAATGTCGTCATCTGATCTCAATCCATGCATCGCCGTCTCCATCGTGCTTTCGTATACCATTCGAAAGTGACCTCGAGGCTGTCACTCGTTTATACCACGGTGCATATGTCGATAGTAAATGTACATGTTTTATTCAGCCCATAGTTATCTATTCTACCCTGAAATTTGCCACAGAAAATACCCGTTATTTGTTTGTTCAACCACCGCTCATTACTATCTATTGACCCTCGAGTTCATATGTCTTCACTACTCATATGTACATATGTAGATGAGCAGGGGTTTAACCTAAATGTTAGCGCGGCGAAACCTTAACGCACTCAAGCTGCACTTATTGCGGTCCCTATTTCCACAGTCCTGTTTCAGTGGCGCCTAATTACGTCATGCCTAGAGTCGCCGCTCCACGGGGCGCAGTCCTACTCCACACTGTACCTAGGTAGGTAACTAGCAGATCTTACCTAGAGTTACTCAGCTATACTGGATTCCGGTTGACATAAGAGACGTGACATAGGCCCGAAGTGAAAATGTTCACCCTAGCCCATCGTGCCAAATCTGAGCTCTTTTCACAACAACCCGATATGGTGTAAGTCTAGGTGATGATGGAAAGGCCACGATTCTGCGTGCTTATAGAAAACAAAGTCGTGGTGTTTCGCCTAGACCTCCGCAATGGGCCGAGTTGGTCCAGGACCTTAGACCCATAAACCCAACCAGCAGTGGGCTATGGGCCCTACCTTCAAAGACCAACTAAGCCTATGGCCCATTAGTGGGGGGCCTATGAGGCACCCAACAAAGACCATTTCTATACATAAATCCCGTCTTGGCGCTTATAAACCTACTGAATAATGCCTGTTTTTTACGCATGTTCGAGTCTGTAAGCTTACTTGGAAGCTCGGCCCGCTGGCCCTAGTCTAGTTTCGCCAGTGGTAAGGTGTGGAATTTTTGGAACTATACCGGAAACGGTTTAGCTCGTTCATAGACAACAAAAGGCAGTATACGGGCGACTATTCATGCCACTCTTGACTTAATTATTATTGGTTTATACTGCCTGTCCGCTTTCACCACCGCCTTCTCGAAGCATATACTAGTAGAATAGGAAGGATAGGAAACGGGAAAGTGGATGGGGCGGGACAAAACCAAAATGGGCAAGGGACTTTATAGAACCACGCACGGCGGCGTGGAGGGACAAAAGACGCTAAACCCGAAGAGTGGATGCTATGTAGTGCAAGGCTTATGTAGTCAATAGCGGAGCTTGCTTTCATCCAATATCCGATATGGTGTAGTGGCTAACATCGCCGTCTCTCACACGGCAGCCGGGGGGTTCGATTCCCCCTATCGGAGATCCTTTTTTTGGTATTTTAACTTATTTGGCTGGTAAGATATTATATACGTATTTGTTTTATAAACATATGAGAAGGCCCCATGGGTCGACTATTATTGTTTATATTATACAATAAATCCAGCAAACTAGCGAAACATAACTACTCAACGGGTTTATCTTTTATCTTGCAAACCTGGAGGGGACCTTGGGAAATACATAGTGCCAGCCCGAGTTATCACCTGACCTTATCATATCTAATCGGATCTTTTTTCTTTTAAAAAAATTCCAGGTCCATAACATAACTAGTTACATACTATTATTAAAAGATCTCAATTGCGATACAGTAAATTGATCGCAGAGACGCTTAAAGGAATTCCCATCCAACCCAACTCCATCAGCAAGTGCTTTTTTCTCCACCAAGACCGCGGGGTACTATCAGTCTTTCCCCCAAAAAAAAGAATCGCAAAGCCCACCTCAACTCCAACAACCATATAAACCTATCCAAAATGGCAACAACAACACCTCAACCGGCCACAGATGCCGCGTCTCACCTCGAGCTCGCCATCACCCTCACAATCAACAATTGGCCGGCCCTCTCACTAGCCGTGCAGTCAAACTGGGGCGGCCCCAACTCCAGCGAGAAGCGGGACTGGCTTTGCGGCGCAATCTCCGAAATGCTGACCGATCGACCCGAGACCGATGCCGAGGACCTGGAGGAAGTGCTCGTACAAGTGATGAACGACGAGTTCGACGTGGCGGTGGATGATGAGAGTGCCGCGGACGTTGCGGATATGATCATGGAATTGAAGTCGCAGACGGATCGCGGCGAGTTCGGTACTATTCAGCAGATGTTGGAGAATTTCCAGAAGAAGAGTCAAAATCGCTCTACTGCGAATCAGTTCCAGCAGGTTGAGACTGCCGATGACGACCAGGAGACAGATGATGAGAGTGATGAAGGGGATGTTGAGATGGGTGAAGCTCCTACTTTGGTGAGGGTTCCTAGGGAGCGGGCTGAGCCTGAGATTGATGATGATGGATTTACAAAGGTTGTCGGAAAGAAGAGGTAGATTTGAACTTTTGTTTTATTTCTATTTTGCCTTGGTGGCAGCCGGAAACTCCTCGGATAGATATCCTTTTTCTAGTTACATAGATGCATTTATTACCAATGGCCGATTGTTCGTCAGATCCAGCGTGCATGGGATAACCCCCTATGTGGCTGGAGATAACCCAAGAACCCATAGTTACATGGTTCAACCACTTGGATTCATAGATGGAGCAAAAACTATGAAAGAAATAATGTGGAAAAAGAAATGTTCGTCATCGTCAGTTGTGGACTGTCTGTGGTATCATTACGCAACCTCTGCCCACCCGTATCACCCTATTCAGAGTTTCTCGCTAGCACATCACTGGTCTTTTGGGGTTCGTTGCACTTTTGAGAACACGAATATTCAGGCATCCTTGGCAAAAGCACTTCACTGGGCCTGAGTCTCGGGGGTGATGAGCTTAGTGATCATACCAATAGCAATGGTTTGACCCTAAAATCGAAATATTAGCGGAGAAATAATAATATAAAGAGTGTAAAAAAGACATACCTGGTCACGAAGGGTGAAACGACCCAATTGGTTGTATTCATCGTAAGTCTCGACACAAACCGCACCGGCGGTGCTAGTAACCTCGAGACGGGCAATAATGGTCTGGCCCTTGCTGGCGAACTGGGGAGGGCGCTTGCTCTTGCGGCCGGTACCGGGCTCGAGCTTGTTAAGGAGAGAGGCGAAAGTAACCTCCTCAACAGCGGAGTGGACGTGCAGGACACAGTTGAAACCGGCTGTCAGAATGCTCTTCAGATCCAAGATACGAATCTTGGCCTCGAAAGCAGACACACAGTGAACGGGGCGCTTAGGTGAGCAGAGCACGAAACCAGGGAAGAAATCTTCTTCTTCAATGCCACGGAGACGCAGGCGAACCTGGTCACCAACCTTGGCGGTCGGAATCTCTTCTTCTGTTTCACCGTACATAGCAGAGATCTGAACCTCCTCGCGGTTGGGCATCATGAGATAAGTACCACTCTTCTTGATGATACCGGACTCAATGCGGCCCTCTGCCATGGTACCCATATCACGGTACTTGGCGCTGATCGGCATCATGAACGGCGCGTTGACCTTACGCTCGGGGAGCTCAAACGCAGTCAGGAATTCGAGCAGCGACGGACCGTCGTACCAATCACACACATCCTTGGGAATGCGGTCTTTGATACCGATAGTACGCTGGGCAGAGATAGGCATGCAGAAGATATCCGACTTCTTGTAGCCCAGGGCTTCCAAGAACTTGGTGACCTTGAGGGTGCATTCATCGAACCGGGCCTTGCTCCATTCAACGGTAGGGTCGTCCATCTTATTCACCGCCAAAATTAGTTTAGAAACACCGGTGTTGCGGGCGAGTAAAGCGTGTTCGCGGGTCTGGCCACCTTTCTCGAATCCAGTCTCGTACTCGCCCTTACGAGCGGAGATAACCAAACAACCTAGGTCGGCCTGAGAGGCACCACCAATCATATGAGGAACGTAGGACTTGTGGCCAGGAGCATCCAATATGGAGAATTGACGCTCGATATCACCCTCCGGGTGCGGGACAGTGACCTTGAAGAAGGCACGGCCAACCTCGACTGTCTTACCCTTGGAACGTTCTTCCTGGGTCAAATCAAGAGCCCACGAGAGGTACCAGGTCTCTCGGCCAGCTTCCTTGGCCTCCTTCTTGTATTTCTCCAGTGTACGCTCATCGACCATGCCGGTAGCATGCAGGAGGGAACCTCCCAGAGTGGACTTGCCAGCATCAACATGACCGATGAAGACGACGTTAATGTGCTCTCTGCGTTCACCATAAATTTCCTTTAGGGTTGCGTCATCAACATCAGCTTGCTGTGACTTTGCGACGGCATTGGCCTCGCGAGCTTGCTTGGCAGTCTCGCCGCGGGCCGGGCTGGAACGTCCAGGGCTAGAGCGGCCAGAAGATGGCGTGGGAGAGCCCTTGCCAGAGGCAGCAGCTTTGTCTGACTTGTCAAGGCCCTTAGTGGCCGCCATCTTTGAACCTGCCTCAGCAGCCACGGAGCCCTTGGTATCACCATTGGCCTCCTTGGGGGTGGTGTCAGCAGGCTTGGCTGCTGGGGTAGGAGTGCCGATCGAAAGGACTTTGGTCTTGGGGGCAGTGCTGGAGGAGGTGGCGCCGATAGAGAGAACCTTGGCCTTGGGCGCGGCGGCATTAGCTGCGGGCTTGGGAGCGGACTGAGCCGGTGCTGCAGGCTGCTGCTGTGCTGCTACAGGCGCATTCTGACGAGGCTGCTGGTTATAGGCACCGTATTGCTGCTGTTGCTGTCCATTGTTGTACTGGTTGAAGCCACCGGGCTGCTGGGCATAGGCGTTGTACTGGCCATAGGCTTGCTGCTGCTGCTGGTAGCCACCGTAGGCCTGTTGTTGGCCGTACTGAGGGTATCCCTGTTGGGGGTAGCCAGCATACTGTTGGTACTGCTGTCCGGGGACGAAGGAAGAGGCTCCAGGCGTGAAAGAGGCGGCGCCGGGTTGGAATGAGGGTGCCTGGGCCTGAGGACGAGATTGTGCGTTCAAGTTGACGCCCTCAGCCTGTCGGGAAAGCTCATCCTCCCAGGATTCGGGGGTTTGGTTTGACATCGTGAAATAAGATCTAAGGTCGAATTAACACGAAAGACGAAACCAAGACGGATTTGGAGAAATACAGGTTGGGTCAATAAGAGGGGCCCCAGTGCCTTTTGATTTTGCACAGGTGAATGACTAAGACCCCGCGATATATTTTTTTCACGTGATATTTTATGGGTTTCTTCTGTTGAGTGCGATAATGTGAGTAAATAAATGTTTGTTAGAAAAACAATCTCTTTGCTTATGTTTATGACCACCTTTTCAATTCTCTGACTTCACTACATTGTCTTTTTCTAAGGTTAAAAGCGCAAGTGTTAGGAGTTGGGCTCATCTTCTTTTGAGCTTTCATTCTCTTATCGATAAGCACCCCTCCATGCCGGTGGTTTATTCCACAGGGGCCTTTTTATATCGCCTGTCAATACGATCTACACTACAAATCTTAAAGGCCATTGGCCTTTAACTTGAACCAAGATGGATACATTTTTAACTGGGGTGGGTCTCATATATCATTGATCATAGAGCAAGCAGCTAATTCGTGTATTGCATACAGCTCACCCGGCAGGCCATGAATTATGCCATTCGGTATGCTTAATAATGACTGAGGAACAACAGCATTCAATGCTAAAAGCTATCATGTAGGTCGGGAATTGCGATAACTGCCAGTTATGCAATGCGCCAGTCATCGCGCTTGCTCAAAGTAAGTCTTTTCAGCTACAGGAAGAAGTCAGCGCTGATCCATTCACCCAGAATGTTAAGAGCGAGGACCGAGATGAACTAGTTTCGTTGCAACAACGCCTGGAAAGCAAGATACAAGTTATTGCCCCGGCTATTGACATGATTGAGTTGATGTGAGTCGCCTGACACTGGTTTGGATTGCCAGAAAGCTCATAATTGTTCTAGTGCTGCTCGAGGAAATACGTCATTGGAATCTGCTGTCGCCCTCACAAAGTCTCTGAGATGGGACATTCAAGCCCTAGGACAGCGGCTGGGAAGAGCCGCGGCATCTGAAGAATTGAGACGCAAAGGAGCAAGATCGTCCAAAGATCAGACAAACAGCGAGATGGAAATCAAGCTTATTATCAAAGATATCAAGAAGCTGTTGGCTCGGATTGAAGATGCAGTGCCACTGATGAACCTGGCCATCACCACCTCTGGGGCCAAGTTATCCACCAACTTACCCGCAACAGTGTCGCCATCCCGGCTCCTCCAAGCAAGCACATTTCTCACAGCAGGGGATACACAATATTCAATGTCCCCATCTCAAGCAGTCCAAGTAGGGCCGACCTTTACCTTATCGATGTACATGCTATTTGCCAGCCACTTGCGACCACATGATGAAGAATCTGTTCGCGAGGCCACATGGAAGGAAGTTATGCACAAGGCACGTTTGAAGCTGCGCCGCGTTCCAATAGCTTCATTGCAGTCCCCAGACCAACGCCCCCGGACGAGACTCCCAGGGCCAGCCGGGTCCGATGAATACGCTTATCAAGTTCTGATCATCGAAGACCTAGATGATGGCCGAATCCACACTATCGACGAGAATGACCCGCAGCCTCAAACCTATGAAGGCGTTTCCACAGCAGGAATCCGGGAGATTCTTCCTATTCATCAAATTTCAAAAATCTTCTACGCAGACACCGGGAGGATCCTGAACATCAGCACAGAGGGCGAAACAAACAACCCAGTGCTACTATTGAAACGGGACCTAAATGCTCTCCCGCCACGGCGCATGATGGAACACGACGAGGTGGAGGAGGACTTTCCTCAAACAGAATCCGAAGAGGAACCAGAGGACGAGGAGCAAGCTCAACTCGACGCACAGCTGAACGGAGGCGACAAGCCAGAAACTAGCAGCTTCAATTATCTGCATGAAGACTCCATACCCGAAGAATGGCGTCTACCTCCCGGACTAGACCCAGAATGGATTGCATTTGAAGTTTACAACGAAGATGAAACCTCCGACACCGAGTCCGAAGCCGAAAATCCTGAATCATCATCAGATGAACCCTCAATCGACCCAAATATGATGGCCAAGCTATCACTTAATGAGAAGGGGCATCCATCCCACTCCCCATCTCCCCTAAATCAATCATTCTCATCCGCCGCTGCCACAACAACAGTCTCCAACCCGCACTTCGAAAACATCCGCACCTCCCTCTCCCTCCTCGAAACCCTCCTCCGCCTAACATCCCTCCAACAATTCCAGCAACAATCCCACCTCTCCATCAGCGACGAGCTCCTCAACTTCTTCCTGGAAGAATCCTCGACAACCGGCGCTGGCGGCGACGAACAGCACCGCCAGCGGCTACGCTCCGAGGCCCGTCGTCGCGTTGGCTGGGACCCCTACAATGAAAGCCCCGTCAAACACCGCGGCGAGGATTACCAGTACGGCTGGGAGCCCGGTAGTGGTCCCCACCAATATGGCGGGGATCCTTACTCGCCAAGTGGGCGGTCCCAGGGCTTCCACCTTCGTTCCAGGGAAAGCACACCGGAGACTCCGGTGCGCAAAGGCTCGTCCAATGTCCGTCCAAGTGTTCAGCGTGGTATGAGGCCTGCGTATGCCGAGTCCCCCTTTCGAAAAAGTTCGGGAGGTCTCTGGATGATGGAGATGTAGGGTCTGGCACAACGGAATGAATGGGGAATGGATGGGAAATTCGTGGACTATGATGCCTTGTACATGTATTACGATCATGATTATGAGATAGCGAATGCATTACAAGATTGGTTTTTTTTATCCTACTCTTCGGACAAACCCTCTCCTGGATGTTAAATTGTTCGACGAATGCCATCATCTATAGTGGCCGTCAAATGTTGGCTGATGGTCCACTTAGGGGCTCAGATAGTCAGACCCCCATGATGAGATGAGATTACATGTATGTAGATAGAAGGAATGGCGTGTATTCAGATATCAACCGCGTAAACAGATAAAATCGCTCGCTAAAAGCAAGTTGCAGAAAATAGGGCTGGGAATAGAAAGAGAGGGGGGGAAAAGCCCGAAACGCCAAAAATCAGAAACCCGACATTCCTAAACTCCAACCAAAGCAGATTCAGGAGCAATTGGCCGTGTTTTAAATTGGCGAACGCAGTAGCAAGACCACGCTTTCCGGGGGTATATGGTATAGACAAGAGCCCTCGAGGCCAACTTAGATCATCTTGCTGATGCGTCCTAGAAAAGAGATATAGGGAATTACTCCCAATCTTCGTCGCTCTCATCAGCCTTAGCAGCGGAGGCAGCCTTTTCCTTGGGACTGCCGGGTGTGCGGCTAGCAGCGCCGCTCACAACATCGTAGCTTGATTCGCTGTCGGCTTGAGAGTGCTGGTCATTTGAACGGCGAGGCTCGGCTTTCTCGGTTTCCTTGGTGGGAGCAAGGGTCTGGGCACCGGAGCGGACATGTGGGGTAGAGGGAGATTGGGACTCAGAGTCAGAGTCGTCGTCCCAGCCGACTTCTTCGTCTTCGGCATTGGCATCTGTAGAGTTGAAGTGGTTAGAACTGAAAACATATATCACCGGAGTGATGGACTCAACATACCCTTCAAAAGTTCCTTGCGCTTCTTCTCCTCGGTCTCCACGACGAGACGCAAGAAGTAGTAACGAGTCCAGAATTCCGCATATTCGACCTGCTCGGGTACGAGCTTCTCCATGGCGGAACGGAGCTCGGGGTATTTCTCCAAATCGGCGGCGATCTCATCCGTCTTGACTTCGACATTGAACTCCTTCTTGAACGATGGCCACTCGTCGCTAACCGGGTCCTTGCTGAAACTTTCCAGGTTTGAATGAATGACGTGCAACTGTGCCTCGAACCGTGTAGCATGAATGACCCGCTTTCCCTCGGCATCCTTGCTCTCGAAAAGGAGCTTGCCGGACTCATCGGTATCGGGGGCAAAATGCTAACGGCCTCACGCAGCTTCTGGCCGATGTTCATTCCAAATCGCAGGATCGCTTCATCAGCTGCTTCCTCTGCCTTCTCGATCTCCTTCAGTCGCCGAGCGGCCTCCGCCTTCAACCGGGCAATAAAGCTTTCTCCACTGGCGCCAGCGCCCTCGCTTTCTCCCTTGTCGGCAGATTCCCCTCCTTCTGCGGCAGCCTTAGGTGTGGCGGTCTCGTCACTTTGTCCCTCCCCACTGCCCGTCAAGGCAGCTGTGCTGAGAGACAGCCCCTTTGTCCGGTCGGCGAGTGTCTCCTTGAGATCTGAAAATCCTTTCACGGCTTCTTCGCTGGCAGCTGCATACTCCTGGCGAGCACCTTCGTAGTAGGTTTCTCCCTGTTTGCGTACATTGTCCCATAATCCTCCAATTCGGGAGCCCCACGGACTGGCGGAGAACGCACGGAAGGTCTCTTGTAGCTCATCGTTGAGGTTGGCGTTAGACTCCTGGGGCTTGGAGTCGGAGGGAGGTCCCTCCTTGTTGGAAAATGCCTCCTCCTGGATGTGATCGTAGGCGATATCCATGATTGGGAAGTTGCAGGAGGGAAAAGAAGGTCAAAGACTTGTGAAGCACAAGGTTGCAAGATCTCCGCGTTCGTCCATGGGCCGACCGCCCCGCTTGCGACGATCCTCAAAAACTACGACAACCACTACTACAACTACTACTATAACTACTATAACTACTAGTTAACTACATCTCATCATATAAAATACGTTGGTCAATAAATTCAAGGTACAAGATATAATTTATATAATAATTATTATTATATTGAACAAATATTCATAAGTCATAGTCATAAATTCCATTGAATAATCACGGAAACAATGTCATCCTTCAGGTAAGTTGTAAGGCTCTCCTACACTATCCTGACTTCCCATCCAAAAGTTCGGGAGCGGAATGCTCTCCATGACGCTCGATGTAAGAAGCTGACTTCGAGAGAGAATCTGGCCTTGCCATTGAGGATCTCGGTCCACTGCCTGCGAGGACTCAACTTGAACTACTGAGCCGGGAACATGAGGTCGTTGGAACGAATTATCATCCGTCTCGATTCCACGTTCTCGTTCACGGATGGGCGATGACTCGGGAACCATTTCAGTAGACTCTTTGTCGCCTTCCTGACTCTGTGTCTGTGTCTGTGTCTGAGAGAATGGCCCCAGTACCTGTTTTCGAAGGGAAGGCTTCCACACCTCCAAATTTGTGTACTGGCTACTGTCTCCCTGAGGGAAAAGCTCAGACATTTTCTGTGTATTCAGCGTTGGGATTGGCTCGTGCGGGAACTGTGTAGCTGCGTGCATTCTTTGATAGCAAATTGAAGCATCAGACATTGGAGCTTCGGATGGAGGAGCATCATCCAATCCAGGGCTCGATTGCACATCTGGTAGGGGAAGTTCTTGGGAATCATCCTTAGATGACTCAGGGCTGTGTTGGGTCGCCTGTGAGCCGTCATGCGGACCAAATTCTCGGTGTGTTTTCTTTGGAGATGGTGTCACGGAATGTCCATTGAGGTTTTCCTCAATGTCTCCGTACTCTGAGTCCGCATCCGTTTCGTAGATCACTGTCCTCTCCCTCTTGGTGAGTCCATTTCTCGAGTCCCCATTTGCTTCAATGGGGAATTCCTGGGAAGTTGACTCCGTCGGAGGTGCAGATGATGGGAATTCCTCAGTAGTAGTTAGATCAGGATGAACCAAATTGTTATAGAGGCTTGGAGAATCGAATATTGTTGGCCGTGGCAAAGATTCGCCTGCAGGGTCTTGTGAATCCTCGACTACTCGCCGAATATCCGGGGGTTCTTCTTTGATAGGTTTCATGGGATTATCAGTTGGGTTTAACGGCTTCCGTTTCGAAGGAGAGCGAGTAGCGCTGCGAAATTGAGATGAAGTTATAATAGCGAGACCCGGGCTTTCGGGGGTCTGTGAAGAAGGTATCTCGCGCGTCCGAAGCTTCCGCGGTGTGACAGGAGCTGCAGATACCCGCTCTCCCTCACCTCCGCTTCCAGGATTTGACTCCCGTGCTTCTTTTTGTTGAGATATAGGTTCCCCCGTTGAGAGATCCAGCTCTTCTTCAAAGGCTCTGCGCTTTCGTTTGGCGGAGGTTGAACGCTTCGTAGATTGTAATTGCTTGTGTTTGGGCGTATGTTCTGTCTGTTCATCTTTCACATCATTCTTCTGCGGTGTCGGCTGGATATAGCTCATGTTCACGTCGTCCTCATCATCATCGATGGTAATGTAACGTCGTACAAAGTCCATCTGAGTTAAAGTCTTGTCCCGCTTTCCCGTTGACTTCTCCAGAGATTTCCGACCGCCCCTGGGACGAACACTCGCCCTTGGTGTCTCGTTCTTTCCGGGTCCATGACTTCGGCTTGCATCTCGATTGACGAGTCCAGAGCTCCTCCGCTTCTTCGAGCGCTGATCCGAATCGCGCTCCCGTTCACTCATCTTGAATTTCGAGATACGAGCTGACCGAACTGGCGGTGCGGGGAGATGGTTTGAATCCTTGTCCGATCCACCATCTACATTTAGCCACGGAGTTGTGTCTTGGGTATTGTCGCGACGCTCATTTTCGTCAATGTAGGCGAGCTGGTCATCATTCGAAGGTGTGGGTTGTGTCACAAAGTCAATTTGCGTGAGAGTTGATTGAACTCGTGGCAGCGATGTTCGCTTACGGGTGCTTTCCGATGTCGATGACTGCGGTGATCGCTTTCGTGCGGTGATGCTTTTCGTAGCAGTTGTTAGAAGACCTGGTGGACTAGGCCTTCTAGGGGTGCGGTACTGATGTGGAGGAGTCTCTGGCAGGTCGCGAGACTCAGGCGATTGTTTCATTGCAACAGCAATGTTTCAAGGCTTAAACATCAGACTGGAGCCTACAGGTAAAAGATATGACGTTAAGGGAGATAGATGCCTGAGGCGGTTCGCGTCAACGCGTCGCTATTATCGACTTGGTCCGTGCGCTGTAATTTCGACCTGCATGCATTCACAATGCAACAATGACACCAAAATGAAAAAGGACAATGCAATTATTCGAATTTGGACTGTGGACGAACGGGAAGGGAAAAAAAAGAAAAGAAAAAAAAAAAAAAAAAGACCTCTTAGGTTTGATTTTTTAGGAATAGCCGAACGCGGGGGTCGAACCCGCAGCCTTAAGATTAAGAGTCTTACGCTCTACCGATTGAGCTAGCCCGGCCGGGCTGTTAAAGAAGATTCCAATATAGTGTAACATAAGCCAAACCAAAGCATTGAGTGCTTCCAAGTGTTGTACATGAACAGCAGTCCTCGGTATGGAGTAGCAGTGTTCATCTTTTTATTTAAACAATTTACGTTCAATGTAACTACATAGGTAACATACAACATGTCTTGTTATGAAAACTAGTCCTCATCAGACATCAACCATTCGGGGATTGCATCCTCATCGTCAGGGTCCTCAGAAAGCAAAGATCCCTTCTCGATCTCGCTGTCAGAATCATATTTAGGCACGGGTGACGGTGGCCGGGAGATAGTAACCACACTTGCGGATTTGGAGCCACCATTTGTGGATGAATCTATAGCGATAGGAGCTTTGTCAGATGATCCTGCGAGGACTTGGGGTACAGATGTCGGGTTTGAGCCGTGGTTTGGGACAACCACTAGTGAGTAGCGAGGCGTTTTTGATGCTTTGTTCCTGGCAATACTCTCAGGAATCGACATCGGGTTTATGGTCAAAGGTGCAGGCTTTGGAGGTTCTACCGGGTCTGGGGCTGGATCGTCATCCGGTAGAAACCCCCCTCCAGGAGTATCCTCCTCGTCCAATGACGGTTCCGTTGGAAACACCTGATCATGTACCATTCTGTCCTTTCCCAGAACTTTCGGAGGCGGACTATTGGCCGGCTGGTCTGGTTCGGGAAAGAAACCACCACCGGCATCTTCAACATCCATTTCGTCTTCGATATCTTCAGGCTGTTGTTCCTCGTCATCGCCAGCATATTCCTTGACTCTTTCTGCAATCCTAAGCTTCATCAAAAAGAGCCGCCAGAACCGCAGAGCCTCCGCAGTTCTTGCCTCCAGTGCAGCATGCCGCCTCTCATCTTCGAGACCCCTCATAACTTCCTCAAGCGCCTCCTGGTACTCGATGGCAATAACAATTCCCCCGAGTACAGCGGTACCACGACGGCCTCTAAATTCAAACCCAGTCACTGCATCGGCATAGTCAATGCCAAGGATTCGAGCAGCTCGAACTGCCTCCGGTCGCTTGATGTGAACTCCGCCAGGCGGAACCATACTAGGAACATAGACGTCGAGGTTTCCATATGTGTTCTTGGGAATTCTTCCCTGAACTACCGGTGGTGGGACGTAGATTTCTGTTTGGAACTCGGCGTATAGTGTAGTCTCTTGGGGCTCATTTTCATCTTCATCATCACTGAAGCCTCCGTCCTTAATTCGACTTGCAGCAACACGCTTGAGAGGCTGCTCGCCAACTCTAACGTCCCGTCCAAGGCGATACCATTTATCGGAGCTTCGCACAATATGCAAGTCAGATCGACGATAAACGGGTTCTGATGTCTCACTCCGCGCTGTGCCTTTTCCCAACCCCACGTGTCCAATGATTCGTTTGGGGTGGATTACTTCATTGCGACGAACGTGTCGCTCAAGCGCATAGACGGGGTGATCCTTGAAGTCCTGGATATTGCGTGGCATGGGCTCGGCTGCCGATTTCGATGTTAGTTCACTAATCTCTGCCTCATCCCGATCCTCGAAGAAGGGTTTTTCATAGGCCTTTAGTGCCTTATCCCACCACTTCTCGCCATTCCGTGTGACTTCCACGCGGAGTTTCCGTGTCTTCGCATTAAATGCTTTTACATAGCGACGTGTGACATCTCTTGCGGAGGCGTCATCCTCGAAAGCAACCACATAATTCATCAGGTTTAATGAATCACTCGCAGGCGGTTCAAATTTCGAAGGTTTAGCAAGGGATTTCGTTACGACAGGGTCAATTGGAACCCATTTCTGCGCAGCTTCGTTAAAGGCCTCCACCCAAAATACCGGAAATGACGAGTCTCGCGGTGTCGGAATCGGAGCTGTCGGTGTGAGTTAGATGTAGACTAACAATCGCTGAAATTCACATACCTGAATAGAATTTCGGTTTGGGAGGACGTGAGGGGGTGAATTTAGGCTGTCCAATCCGTCGAGGTCTTGAAGCAGCAGGTGATTTTTCGCTCTGGCTGCGTTCATCTGTTGAGGATCCAGGATCGTCTGAAGATATCACAATATATTGATGTTTTGGTTTAGACGGCGTCATGTCTTTCACAGTGCCAGAAAATGGCAAGGGTTGCAATGAGCAAACAAGTCTCGCCTCTACGGCTACAGACCGCAACAGGGCACAGAATAGCTGAGCCCCAAAGTCCCGGGAACCTTGCATTGTATTCGCTTGGGTTCTAAAATCACCTTTGGATAGAAAGACTTCAGCATTCGACATGATTGATTCCTGTGTATTTGTGTCAGTGAATGATTGTTGGTGGAAAATTTTGTGAAGGATACCAGTTTCTGCTTCAATTGCGATTCATCTTCCGCCCAGTGAGCCCGTTTCATTCCTGGTTTGGTAACCCGAAATCTGCGTGTGAAGGCATCCCCGGCCTGGTTGAGACCATCCATAAACGTGGTGGATCTGCTATAATGTGGTTTATCCTCATCTGGATGCAGAAGAGCGACTACTTTACTAGGCAATGTCTTCTTCAAGAATTCCTACGGTGCTGTTAGACACTCGATCGATACGCCCAAGTTGGCCAGCACTCACCTGTAATTCCTCATCATTGCACCACATGTTGCGCAACTGAACGTGGCCAAGAAGGCAAAGAAGGTGACATTTGTGTACATCCAGTCTAGCTTTTCTCTCGGCTCCAGTTAAGGGCTTCCTTCTTTGGACTACCTTTTTTCGCTTCTCGGGTTCTTGCTCTAGTGTGATCTGGAGCATCTCATCGTCACCTTTGGACGCAAGGTGTCTGTTCAACAAGGACTGGGATGGTTGCTGTAATTCAACATCTTCCCAGTCAACGTCTGACTCGTCTGATGTCGATGAATCGTAAACAGTTTGCACCGCTTGGGTGCTGTGCTCGTTTGCTTCTGCGTCCCGAGGTGTTTGTTCCGAGGCCTCTAGTCCCACAGGGATAGCCTTCATATCCCCAGCCTTGCGCCTCTTGATTGGTCTGTCTGAAGCAAATTGCCCGGGATCTCTGGCTTCAGCTTCCTCCAGCAGTTCTTGGTAGACATCTGGAGCATGATCATCTGTCTGTCTCTGACGTTTAGGTTGACGGGCGCGCGTCGCCCGGCTCCTCGTGGAACGAGCTAGTGTTTGGTGCACCATTGCAAGGTATATTATTGAAATGCAGAATCATGTAGTAATTTCAAGGCTTTTTATCCGATGAGGCTCTACGCGTCGCGCGTCAGCACTCAAGGTGGCGTTTCAGTACCCCGCCCTCCTTGGAAAAGCAATGGGACAAAACATCAAGGAACAGAAAATGCAAAATATTCACCGCTTCGAAACGATATTTGCAGAATAGAGATACTCCCCGCCAAAGCTTTGTTGACGCGCTGCATTTCGGGGTCCTTCCAGATCACACGGTGCGTCATGTCGGATTTTGATTTATCCGTACCGATATCAATATAACCTGATTAGGAAGTACACTTTTAAGCTATATCAACCGATTCAAGTGGTTTATTCGCTGGTATCCTGATTATTCCGAATATCGGAGTAACCGTGTATGTTTATGGGTGTCTCACTTAGTTATTGCTAAATGGTTAAAAAAGCCACGTAAGAACGTTGATATATATATATCCATCGGAGGACCTCTTCAGTTGTCCTCGGCGACACAGAATTAAGCTCTACAACCAGACAAGTCAAGTATTACACCGTGTCCAATATGATAATTTACCTGGGATATGAATCGAGAAATGTATGTAGTTGGATAATGAGTCCTAATCCACTAAGCAGCATAGAAGATATGAGTAACACGTCATCCCCAAATGGATTTGCACATACCGAGCAGGTAAAATGGATAGGTATCTGGGACACTAAGCAAAGCGATATGCATCTACGGACTCCAATTAATGACTACAACATACGATATATACTGCGTCTAAAGCATACCCAAGCCATTATTCTTTGTTTCTCCCTCGTAGATTCACATGGGTTCTATCGGAAACATTTCAGCCAATAGAACTTACCCAGCGGAGATAACTTGCTTTCCGAGTGATCGGTTAGGTTACCTCCGAGAGTTAATAAGGGCCCTTCTAGAGCGCGATCTACAACATAGAAAGAAGAACTTTCTAAATGAGACCAGGCTGTAAAAGAAAAGTCAACAATGACAATACTAGCTTCAGCATTTTGACACTAGCCCCACATTGGTGGACGGTGGTAGTGTGGAAGGGATGATTTTTCTCTCCAGACCAACTGTACGGAGTAGTCGTGCAGGATCTACATTTTCGCTTGCGTCTGACAGTTGTGTGGTGCTCACACCTTTTAGTCCTAAGCCGTGCCGATTGGTCGTACCTCCACCCAGGCCCGGTATTCTGGATTTCAGCAGATGATTTGCAGTCCCAATTCCAAATGTTTTTGACTTTTCCTAAGCGATGGGTCCTTGTAAAAATTCTATTCTCCTCTGATGTACGGAGTACTCCGTACAAAGGTGTGAGAACGTGTTGGGAGTTTATTCGGCGAGACCGTGAATTGAACTGTGTGGATATCTCAAGCCGATCATTTCTGTGAAATAATTCACCCCGCACCTATATGCACGACAGGGTTAATGGTTGATTTATTGGGTTTTATCAAATTAAAGGGAATGACAAGGGGTTGGGAGGAGGTTGCTTTCTTTTTTTTTTCCTGTTTAGCTTCGTATTAGTATTGTCGTGCGTCCTTAGCGCAACCCCCAGCTGGTGAAAAGGTCGTCCTGTGAAGTACAGGTCTATCTCATCCGCGGCCGATAAAATCTAGTGATATCATTTGTGGGGAATGTGCAAAATACTACCCAAGCGGTCTGCCCTTTTGCTAGCGGGTAGTTGTTTTATTTTTATGCATGACACGTAGTATCGAGTACGTTTAGCGAAAGACCCAAGACGGGCGATGGGACGATATGCACGTTGTCAAGGATAATAGGCTGCATGTCTTACTTGACTCCAGACTAATTCCAATAGAGTTCCACTGTTTTAGAAGTAGATGAGTTGTCAAGAATTGAGTCAGGCACATCCTTCCCGGTGCATGTAGTTGCTACCCTACCGGTAGGGCAAGGTGCAGCTCGGGGTGATTCTCATTGCATACATTTGCTTAGCACATCTGTCATTTCTCTTTCTTCTTCTCAGAGCTTGATGAAGATTGGCTAACTGAAGCTTCCGGTGTACAGCCCTACAAACTACAACATAAGTACTAGGTATATACAGAGTAGCTTAGTGAACACAGAGAAGCGAGTACACGTTTTCTCTTCTTGGACTCGGATCTGATAGGCCATTATCTTATTGTCAGAGTCTTGGCATCTCGTGTAACAGGTGTCTCGACTTGGTCGTATGTATTCGGAGTTATTCGGTTGTGAACACTTAGCAGACTAACAGAGCCTGCAATTTCCACTGCCCTATCTATCTCCCCACATCAAAGAAACCGCGGTATGTACATCCTCTCCGTATGAGTCCCGCTTACGGTGGGTAACTTTAGATGCCAGCGACTAAAGCAAGAATCTCAAAGAGATAAACCGCTAAGGGAGGTTTCCACTACGAGCTCCGCTGCGGAGTGACGACTTAGCGGTTCATGGGTTGCGGTGCGACGGACACCGAACCACGTATCTATTATTGTACTAATGTACCGTAGCATCAGAGAGACAACTCATAAAAAAAAATTCGCATGCCTAGGCAATTTGCAAAGAAAAGCCGATTGAAAAGTCCATTAAAGAAGGTATTTAGGTAACTACCTACCTGGTACCTAGGTATGTACATGGTTCCCGTCTCGGAAATTGATTCTGGGGCCGGCGGTACCGACACGTTGGAACCCGAATAACTTTCCCAGTCGCCGGGTCCGGGTGAATTGCAATTCCAATTAATTCCCGGGGTGTTCCCTTTGAATGGGAACCCGGGTCCATGGCAGCGAAATCATTATTTTTGGGACGGCTGCAGGGATGCAGTGCTTGGGATTATATCTGCAAGCTGTTGACATGTTTTGCTTTTTTTTTACCATCCTTCTTTCTGTCGTATAGACTACTCAGACTGCAGATTTTTGATTCGGGGTACCCCGAGTACAAGAAGGTTACATTTTAGATGTTTTTGTTACTTGAAATTGGGGTAACTATACACCTGGACACATTTGTCATTTCGGTCTACAATATATGCTACACGTTGTGATTACGCCTCTGTTTGATCGACACCTGCAGAGCAATGACGGAAGACTCCTAGGTAATGAGTACTCTGGATCTCCGTACGATAACTATACGGAGTAGGTAATACTTTGTATAGTACGGAAATCATTAGAAAAAAAGTTTAAAAAAAAGATAAAAGATAAAATCCAATATGAAGACCCAGAGTAGCGGAAACTATTGTGCATGTTCCGTGCACTTCTCGATCCCATGTGCCCCTCCTTTGAGGCAATTTGGGGAGAAAAAGCCCAGACTTCAAGCGCCCCGTGTGACGCTATTTCTGACGGATCACTTCCTAATCTCCCACCGCTAGACATTAATATGGTAGGAGTCCAATTTGATATGCAAGGAAAAAGAATAAAGGAAACTTCGAGCTTTCTATACAGGACTTAAAAATCTTCTAGAATTATTCCCTTTGATATTCGGGTCCAACCCTCGGGAGTCCGTGCGATGACTAAGATCTTGGCATGGGAACAGTACCGGGGCCGTGATTGTTATGGAGATGAATTGAATTCATTTGGGAATTCCCAACAACTCCACGTCTCTATGGGGCCGTTCCCCAGTCTAGAATCCACCTCTTCCTTTTTCGATTTTGACTTGAAACATTGGTAATATGTGTTTATTGGTTTTTTATGGAAAAAAATTTTTCTCTCTCACACTTCAGGGTATAACGGCGTTTGAATCCGACTATGGCTGGGATGACCCTGCAGGGTTCTGCACAAGTGTTCTTGGGGATCGTTTCTGCTGATCGGCTGAATCTAAAAGGTAAATCCCAGCAGAAAGGTTGAAGGCGGCCCGTGGCTGGGCGGGTTGCATATTCCCAGCTAGATGGCACCAACCTCTATTGGTTCAACCAGCCAGGACCTCGGGAGCCTTCGATCGTGAGGATCGAGATAATGAGCCATAGATAAAATGGCTGGTTATGTTTTGAAATGGATATATAACATGTACCATCTGGGGTCCCACGTCAGGGAGAAGATGACCGGGGGTTCACCGGAAAAAGGGTCCTAGGTTTTATCAATCCAACATCACATCTTGGAATAATAGTGAAACTGCCAAGGGATATTGTATTGTATCTTACGATTGTGTCCTTCTGAAGGAAAAAAAGATAAGTTTAATATTTATATTCCAGGTAGGTCTCTGAATAGTACAAAAACATAAAAGACAAAATGTAAACTAAAAAAACGAAGTAAAAAAACCCTTGTCAATTACATATTAAATCCTGTCCAATCATTTTCAATAGTAAACTAAAGTAAACTACCTAAATTTTCCCCCAGCGAAAATAAAGACATTACATGGGGTACTATTCCGGTTTAAAATGATTTCACGCCTGAAGCGCCTGGGCATCCATCTTACTCTTTCACATACTTTTACTTTTTCACTCTTTACCATGTAACCCAGCTTTGTACACGAACTAGAGTAGAGCTCCACTTACCGGGGTTTGCTTTCGCTTTTGCTTTTTATTTTTTATATATTTTTTGCATTCGAATATTTCAAATGTCGATCTTACGCCGAATTATAGTTGTCGGGATTGTCCTCCCGCCCTGCCAGATTATAACTTAACCCAAGTTGTCGGGCTCTTCTTTCCCCCCTCCTTCTCTTTCAATCATGTCTGGATTTGCATCCGTTTGAGTCCTTCCGTATTCATACTGGAACTTGGAATGAAGTACGAGTTAAATTCCTGAATCCAGTTCACCAAGGCATAGCTCACTGTCCATCCCGGGCGCCTTGATACACCTGCCCACTATTAATTTCGGATAAGAGCGAGGTGACCATGGGTGCTAGACGTCCGGTGAGTTTATTTCTCTTATAGAATATGGTCCCCATGTCGATACTCTTTTCGTTATATTCTGGTGACTATTTGACTATCGATTTTTTTGCTAACGTAAAATCATGCAGCCACTCCAAGCTGACTGGTAATACCACCCACATTGTCCCCTACTCCTATTTCCTTACCAAATCCAAGACTGGCGTGACTGACCGTATGATAACAGCGATACACAGTCGTTGACTGACAGTGTGATGGATTATCCCGTCGAGAACGGAAGAACCTATCATAGGTACCACGAGGGAGGTATGTTTACCATTCCGGCTCTGTTAAATCCCATACAACATGGCTAATTCAATATCTAGCCTATATATATCCGAATGATGAACAGGAAATAGATCGCCTAGACATGCAACATCACATGTTCAAAATGGCGATGGATGGAAGGCTATTCCGAGTTCCCCTCCAAGACCCAAAGCATATCCTTGATATCGGCACTGGCTCAGGGATATGGCCAATAGAGATGTGTATGATCACCCGTCCCAGCTCTAAAGTTCTTGTCTCACAATCTCAAATTGTCTTCTTGCAGCGGCCTTGTTTCCAAACACCGAAATTATAGGGACAGATCTCTCCCCAGTACAGCCAACGGAAGTTCCGCCAAACGTCCATTTCTTGATTGATGATGCCACTGAAGAAGAGTGGCTATGGAACAAGAACTACTTTGATTTCATTCATACCGGCCACTTGTCCGGGGCCATGCCGTCATTCAAGCGTGTACTACGACAGGCATTCAAACACCTCAAACCGGGAGCATACATGGAATGTCACGAGCTCGACCCCAAACCAAAATGTGATGATAATACCATGCCCCCCCGAGAATCGAGACGGGGGATACAGTGAATTCGCCATGCATGATTGGGTAGATCTTAATGTACGCTCGGGTCGTGATGCTGATCCACCAAGACAATTCCGAATTGCCCACCGGCTTGCACAGTGGATGAAAGACATAGGATTCGTTGACGTTGAACAACGACTCTCCAAAATCCCCACAAATACCTGGCCCGAGGACGAGAAGCTAAGGACCATTGGTGCTTGGAGTGAGAACAATTGGCTTGATGCTTTGTCCGGGTGGTCATATAAACCCTTTCTTGCCCTTGGCTGGTCCAAACCAGAAATTGAGGTCTTCCTCGTTGATGTGAGGAAGAGCATACAGGACCGAAGTGTCCATGCTTACATGGAATTTTATGTGGTGACAGGACGGAAACCCCTTTCCAGCGAAGCCAGAACAACCTCCTGAGTTCTCGTCATCTCCCGCGCTTTCTCGCCATGACCGTCTTTATCACACCACTCCGTTATGTCCCCTCCGAGATGATTTGCATGTGATACCATTGGTGGACAAAATTCTGCATACATTGCATTGGCGTTGTGTTTATTACTCCTACGACTTTTTTTTAACCTTCTATATAAATCCATTCTCATGCCTGATTGTAGTTACAATCAGGTAACTTCGCGAACATTTGGTATACGTCTTGGGGCGGCCTCGAACGATTAAATGGGCCATAATATGACATATACATAGTTTAAACATAGAAATAAGTTCACTGTGCAAAACAAGAAAACAATAGCTGAACCAAATGTTATAAAATAGACAAGTGATAATAGAAGCCCAAACATTGGCCTGTTGACTCCCGCCCTGGGGCGACGCGGAGATTAGTCATCACGCCAAGAATCGGAAAGCTGCCATGCGAAAGTTGATTCCGAGTGCTTGCGACAAGCCTAAGACAGCAATTGGCTAGCACATGCTATAGCCAATCCCATGTCTTTCGGCAGACATGCCTATCGGCATGCTCTAAAACCGCCAGCTACTGCAACACTTGATCATCCCTGGATCAGTGATGACCTACTCGCAGCCACGTTTCGTCGCTTCGCTAACGGTCAACGGCGCCATGGGAGCTGCGTTCCCGGACCATTGGAAGCACGACGACGTCTGGCGAAACGAAGAAACACCGCTCTGGCAAGCATAGGGGGAGGCCCGGCTGAAGATATCGCGTGCTTGTTTGGCCGCAATGGGAGGGAACACATGAAATGGGCTGACCATCCATGGCAGAGAGCACCATTCGAAACCCAAAGTATGCGTGACAACACACGCATTCAATTTGTCGAGTATTTGCTAACTGTTTTATGAAGCTTTCGTCGATCATTCTTTTGGTCCTCCCGAAGTACCTTTTTCTTTCTCCGACCAGAACCCGGAGCCTGGACCCGAACCCAGCGAATTTCATACTACTACTCATCCTCATCCGTCATATCTCGCCAAGGCGGATCAAGCTACACGTGAACAGATGCTAGAGGGATTTTTGGATGGGAACAATTGGGGCATTGAAGATGCAAGGGACTTCACTCGTCGGTTGAGAATTGACCTCCACCGGGAGCCGCGATACAGCCGGCAGATATTCGAGCGGTTACTTGCTCGTTCGGACCCAGACCTTACAGAAGCAATTGAGTTCCTGGATGATCCGTTCCTGAATACCCGGGGATCGGGGAATTACGCTGCAGCTGTCGAAATCTTTGTTCGAACGAAAACGAAACGCGGCAAACGAACCGCTGTTTTAAATGCGATTAATCGGGCGTTAGAGTTGGGGTTGATCTCAACTGATGAGATCTGTCTGATCATCACCGCTTTACCGAATATTATCGTCGAAGGAAACAAGACTCTGGGATCGTGGGACCATAAAGCTTTGTTGAAGCACTACCGGGCGATGTGGAAAGCTATTGGGTGCTGTAACATTCTCGGTTATCACGATTTGGACAGAAGCATTGTTGATGCTTGGCTTGGAGAGCTTTTGCGTATTCGCAGCTTTCGTTTTGCCGAGGAACTCATCATCGAAACCCATGATGCAGACCGTCACAGCCAGTGGCCTTCTGCTTTGGTTCAAGTTTGGTTGGAAAGCATGGATGTCGATTCGGAGACAAACTTGCCGTTCCCCGACAAGATATTCAGCCAGCTTGATGTTGATAGTGCGGCGGACTGTGTCATTCGTGTGACAGAGTCATTGGCATCGTCTTCAACAGACAGGGTCTCCAGAAACCAATTGCTTGAAAGATGGAGGGATTGCGTCGCAGATGCCGAAGTCATTTCGACCGTTGCCAAGTCACAGGTCTGGTTCGATTTCCCTCTGCCATGTGTTCAATCACAAATCAAGCATGCCCCTCTGAGCCATTCAACTCAACGTCAGATAATCTTGCGACTCTGGCTTCTACGAACGCTTGGCCGATCTACTGGGCCCATGTACAATCAGAGCGCAAGAGTAACGGATCAACCGATATATTCATTGCTCAATCTCTACCAAACGGTGATACAAGATACCAGCGGAACATTCTATCCAAACTTCATGCGAGAAATCCATGATCTCGATCTCCCCTACAACAGCCTTCTGCTCCTAGCCCTAAATAAAAGGGGCAAATCCTCCATTACCAGAACCACCCGCAAAACCCTCGAACAACTGGAAACCTCCCAGCTCTCCCTAGCAGAAGTATGGACAAACCCATCCATATACAAAGGAATACAAAAGCTTTTCCACACCACATTCGACGAAATGTTCCATCGCATGGACCTCACCAGCCCAGACACAGTTGAAGAAATCCTGAATGTTGTTCGCTCAGGAGACTCAAAGAACATCTGGCCCATCCTCAGGCTTCTCAACAACAACATCCCATTTAAGGTCAGCCTCCACAAAGCCTGGCAGCCCATTCCACACCCCGATGAGAAAGTCCTCGTGCGATACCACCCAGCGCCGCGGGACAGCCGATGTCCCGATCCCCATGCTGCAGTCGACCTCATAAACCAGCTGGCAGTTGCGCTCTCCTGCTGCAGGCATTTGACTCCGTGTCAGTCTTTCCATATGGTTCACTGGCTTTACGGGTACCTTCGCAGACACGGCGGGCCCGTGGATCCGGAGTTCGTGCGGGCGATGTATCATGCTGGTGTTGTCCGATACCGTCGTGATGGTCGCCGTATCTCGGCTACTCAGTATGAGTACATCCGTTGGATTGTCGGCAAGTTTGAAAGCTCTGAGGTTATTGAAGAGCTCACTGCTCTGCCTCAGATTGGCGAATCGAGGGTTGGTCGGCAGTAGATGTGGTATGTGAATGGATGTCTACATGGGAAATTTTTATAGAAGAGCGATACGATACCCCTGCTTCAATTTACCTTGCCCAGAGGGTGCTGAGCTGAACATTCAATCTACATGAAAGATGTAACTATCAAGTTTTTGAAACCTCCGATTTCTGTGGCCACCCCTGCTCTAAACCTTGTAGCATAACGCGAACAAGTACGCCCGTGGTCTTGGCCGAATTACGATCGTACAGAAAACATAGTGAGGCAGAAGAAACCCATGCGTGCATTAAATCAGTCCAAGAAGACCACACTGGTCAGTGCATCTCCAAGAAAATCTAAGTATCAACTTCCATGCTGTCCCCAGTACCAAGGTTATCATCACCGGACAGAGTTTCGATCGTGACATATTTCTTCATATCTTCCTTGCTGATAACCCTCTGGTCCAAATAAGCAGTGGTACCACGGGGGAAGCGGTAGTTGCGCTCCTTCTGCGGGCGCTCGTTAGGCTTCATGTAGTTGCGGAGCAGCTGAGTGGGCTGATCCTTCTCGATCACACACACGTCGACATTGCTACCAGAGCCCAAATCGTTGAAGATACCAGCCTTGATTGCCTCAGCACAGATGTCGATGGCGCCCTGGCGGTCCAGGTCTGGTTGCCAGGTCGATTCAAACACAGACATCGCAGCCAGCGATCCGGATCCCATCGTCACGTACGGCAGCTTGTCTGTAGATCCGTGTGCATGCACAGTGTACAGTCCCGTGCCGGTCGGGTCCACGCCTGCAACAACAAGGTACGCCCCGATGTGGCCCTGGTACCGGAAGAGGTGCTGCTTGAGCATCGTCATACAGGTGATCACGCGGGGGTCGCGGCCCGTTGATAGCGAGTGCAGTTCGACGTTGGAGCTGATGAGCGCCGTGGTGAATTCGGTGTCGGCGGCGGTACCGGCTCCAGCACACCAGATCTTCGGCGCGATGTAGTGCAGCTTCTCGCAGTTCTAGAGACAAAGAATGTTAGATGCTTTCCAAAATGAAAATGCACATGATCTGATCGGTATATCTTACCTTGTCTGCTACTATGGGACCGCTGGTAGCTCGGGTATCTGCTGCAATCTGTAATGGCGATTCGAGTCAGCTCCTGGGTCACAGCTCGTAGGAATCTCCTCGCATCGCTTGGGACCATACCACAACACCCTTATCGTAGACACAGCCCACAATTGTTGTACCGGTACTTGTGGCCTTGGGAAGGGGAACACCCCTAGCGTGAAGCGCCGCATTGCGGTTGTAGTTTGTGAAGTCGAAGCCGGGCATGGTGACAACGCTGGTGTTCGCGACCAGCTAAACTGATTATCAAGATATAAAGCAGGTATAGCAAGAAACAAGAGCGAAATTCGAATATTGGGGGAGATCGAGAAGGATGGATGGTTGAATGGGGTAGCAAGCTGGAGATGGAAGTGAAGAGGAAGTGAGCTGTTTGGAGTGACGAAGCTCCCGCAGCCTAAATTGGAGCCTAAATTATCAGGCATAAACAAGGTGTTTTTGCCGGACATTATTTTCCAATTCAATGCTTTTCTATTGTAGTCCTCCTTGACCTCTCTCTCTCCAACCTTTTTGCGCATCGGCGATTACCGTTGCGTCCCTTTTTATTCTTTGCTTGTCTTCTCATTCCTGGGAAGCCACGCAACCTCAAGATTTTCGCGCATACTCTCAACCTCTTCTCCCGGAGTCCTCAGTCACTCCATCGACGCTCGCTCTCTACACCTCCCAACTCACCTTCGCCTAATGCTGTCAGACATAGCTCCCCTCTAAGCGAAAGCACACATTCTCCTTCTGGGACATTCAATTCTGAAAAGCTTAGAATGGCTTTCAACTTCGGAATGTCCAACCCCGCTGGGGGAAGCGCCTCTGCGGAGCTTGGTTCAGAGCTTCCCGATGTCTTTACCGATGTATGTCCAACCCGCCACAGCTCTTACTCACCAAGATCCTCTCTAATGTAGCTAATAGGAGATCGGTTTCAAAGGCGTGTCCGGGGACGCAAACATCCGCTTCCTCTCAACGGCATGGCCCGACGACGCGCTTCCGGCTCCTACTTCCTCACTTCTGGCTGTCGCACACACCAAAGGCCTCATTGTCGGCGCTGGCCCAGATGCGCTGGTAATCAGCACCGCTGATGTCGTCAGAAAGTCCATCGAGGCGCCGGCTGGAGAAGATATGGAGAAAACGAAGCCCTTCCAACCCATCGCCACAATTCCCCTTCCTTCTCGTCCCACTCATGTGGCATTTACACCGGGCGACGATGGCCTGATTCTCGCTACAGAGAATGGCCCCGCAATCTCGGTTTTCGATACCAACACCCTCACACAAGGAAATGCGCAGCCGGCGATTTCAATTCCTACAAATGGCGTGTCGCTACGAGCACTGACACCAAACCCTGACCCTTCGTCGACACTCGTCGCGCTGGTCACCGTTAACGGCGATCTTCTTATCGCCGATCTCAAGGCTGGGAGCCTAGTTCCTGGGCCTAGTGGCCCAGTTCTCAAGACTGGTGTCAGCTGTGCTTCATGGAGCAACAAAGGAAAGCAGCTCGTCGCTGGATTAGCCGATGGCACTGGATACCAGATGACCCCAGATGGAACGAAGAAGGCTGAAATTCCTCGGCCATCTGATTTGGAGGGAGATTGCCACAGTAAGTTTCAAATAACTCCCAGAACTAAAGAAGTACTTTAACTTACAATTATACAGTTTCATCAATCGCATGGCTTGAAAATGATGTTTTCCTTGTCACATACACCCCAAATGCTGCAGAGGATGATATGGGAATGAACCCAGGTTCTTCATACTACATCATAACCCGTCGCAAGCAGGCACCGTTCCTCATCCAGAAATTGCCAGAAGTCTGCTCGACTATGGGCTTTTTGGTGAAGCGCGGTCCTGCATTCCAATTTATCACCAGAATTAGAGAATACAAGCCTCACTTGAGAGATGTCCTGATCATCGCGTCAACTGCGTCGACTGATCTCGGACTCATCACGCGATCTGACCAACCTCTGGCCAACGATGAGCGAATTAAGTCTCATGTTGGTCAGTTCATGACCACAGAAGTCAGCGACGACACCAAACGTGCTAGTGTCCCGTTGAAAGACTCTGGAGAGGAGACATCGGTCATTGGTCTGGCACAAAACCTCTCAGCCACGGAAAATGTCATCGCACCGCTTCCGGGTTCCGATATCTTGGAGAGCTCGACGCCCCTTCCCGGGGTTCTTCTTTTAAATAATGATGGTATCCTTTCATCATGGTGGTTCGTTTATGCTGATTCGATTCGCCAAAACATCCCGTATTCGGGTTTGATTTCGTCCGGTCAGGCAACCCAAGCTCCCTCTCAGCCACAGGCTATAGCTCCAACCCCGGCCCCTGCCCCCACACAGCAACCTGCATTTGGCCAGTCAGGGTTTGGAAGTCCGGCGCCGTTTGGCCAGCCAGCTTTCGGGAAGCCGGCGGGAGCCCCTGCCTTTGGTAGCCCATCAGCCATGGGAGCTTCGACTATGGGCGCGACTGCCTTTGGGAAGCAAAGTGCTCCGGCATTTGGAGGCCCTGCCCCAGCCTTTGGAAAGACATCGTCACCGGCCCCTGGTCCCGCGTTTGGGACCCCCTCTCAGCCTGGTGCATCATTCGGTACCCCCAGTACGCCTGGACAGCCGCAGTTCGGGAAGTCTGGATTCGGTGCTATGGGATCTGGACCTGGACAGTCTAGCTCCCCGGCAAACCCATTCGGGGCTAAGGGTACAGCATCTAGCGGTGGTGGCTTCAGCTCCTTCTCCGGTGGAGGCGGCTTCAGTGGCTTTGCAACAGCGAAGCCGGGCGAGTCACCATTCGGAGCGAAGCAAACAAGCGAGTCACCATTTGCAGCTAAGCAGCCGAGCGAGTCACCCTTCGCGGCAACACAACCAAAGGCGTCGCCATTCGGAACCGCCTCTACTGGTGAAAGTGCTTTCGCCAAGAGCTCTGCCTCGCCCTTTGGGGCCAAGCCTCAAGCCCCTACCTCGTTCCCGCCTCCTGCGTCCAGTGAAGTCAAGAATCCCTTTGGCGCCCCGCAAGGTGGATTTGAACTCAAGTCTACCTTCAAGGGCGATGGCTCGGCTGTCAATGATGGGCCAAAACCAGACAAACCTTCTTCCGGAGCGTTCTCATTTGGTGGCTCCTTTGACGAAATGGTGTCAACGCCCCGCAAGGGAAGCGCGTCGCCGAGTGAATCAATGGATGATGATACTGAAGATATCGAGCCTGTGAACAAGGAGACATTCTCAATTTTCGGCGGGGCAAGCAAACCTGCTTCACAGACCCCCACCTCAATGTTCAGCTCAAAAACACAGACTACAAAGACAACCACTTCGGCCGAGAAGACCCAGTCGCCATTCTCTACACTTGGCACCACTGCTGATCAAAACCGAGTGACCAGCCCGTTGTCAGCGCTGTCTGATAAGACCGAGACACCCAAGAAAGATTGGCCTAACACATCAAGTATCGATGTGGAGGCGCCATTGCCACCAGATCCTACCACCCGGGCTAGTTATGCAGCTGGGGATACTTCCGCTTCTGATAACGTGTCGAAGTGCTCCGCTGAGGATGCCCCCCTTCCTCCCGATTTCACCAAGGCGAAGAAGTCTTTACAACCTGAAGATGACGCCCCTCTGCCGCCTGATTTCCTCTCCCCGAAAAAGTCTGCACCCTCGACGGACGACGCTCCTCTCCCTCCCGACTTCCTCACTCAGAAGAAGACTGCACCCAAGACGGACGATGCTCCTCTCCCTCCCGACTTCCTCACTCAGAAGAAGACTGCACCCAAGACGGATGACGCTCCCCTTCCTCCAGACTTCTTAACAAAGCCCAAAAAGTCCGAGACTGCGGTTGTCCCCGAAGAAGCACCTCTCCCGCCTGACTTTACCGCAAAGCCCAAGACCAAACCTTTCGAGGAGGCAGTTCCAATCCCTGATGAATCGGATGAATCGGGTATCTCTGATGGAGACTCCGAGGCCGCAGACGAGTCGGACTTCAGTGATAGCGGTGAAGAAATCACACACGATGAAGCATTCATTGCCAAATCCAAGCCATCAGCCCAGAGCTCGTTTGGTGCTGTTTCCGAGCAAAGTTCCACCGGAGGATTCTTCAGCAGCCCTGCTCGAGATGCGGATGACAAAGGCCGCCGTCCCCGGCAGCTATTTGGGGAGATCTCCAAGCAGCCACTGCTTCCTCCCCCGGGCCCTATTGCCCAAGGTAATCGTGAGCCCTACCGGTCACCAAGTCCGATTCGGATCGGAGGGAAAAAGAACGTGTTATTCTCTGAGAAATCACGTACTCGCAAGGGGTCCACAGGCGCGTTGCACTCGCGTAAGGCATCTCTTACACAAATTGGCCAGCGTGATGGCCACCTGAGAAAGGCTAGCGATGTTGCTCGCGAGGAGCAAGAGAAGCAAGCACGCGCACATGCAGCGGCTCAACTCCAGGAAGACGATGTGCTATCTTTGTCAGATGATGACGAGGATGATAGACTTCGTGATGAGCTGGCTCAGCCCGTTGAGCCCGTTGATACCCTGGATCCATTCTTACCCCACCAAAACTACATGGGCGAGACTGCGAAGCCAGGTATTGCCGGCCAGGTCGAACGACTTTATCGTGATATCAACTCTATGGTAGATACATTGGGCATAAATGCTAGGTCAATGGCCGGATTCCTTCTGCACCAGCAACCCAAGCAACCCTCTGATCTTGATGGGTGGGTGATGATCATTAACAGCGACCAGCCCGCTGACATTCTCGACACGAAGATGGCCTTGAAGGACATTGAGATATTTGAAGAGCTGATTGCTTCAATTGCGCAATCATTGGACGACCAACGGGTGCAGGGAGTGGATGAAAAGCTCGATGCGTGCCGTGACCTACTCACAAAGCAGGTTGTCACCCTGCGAGGCCAGTTCGCAAGCATCCGCAAGACTCTTGATGCACACACCGACATCGGCGCTATCCTCGAAGCGCCACTTTCTGCCGAGCAAGGTGCGCTCCAGCATGATCTGCGCACCACATTCACAAATATCCAGGTCAAGATGACCGCCCTTGAACAGGCAGTCTCCCTTCTACGTGCCAAAATCGCCGACATCCCGCAGGTAAATGGCACAAGCAGGAACCGACCAACCGTCGAGGCTGTTACTAAGACCATCGCAACAATGATGAGCATGGCCGAGGGAAAGAGCACAGACATCGATGTTCTCGAGGCACAGATGCGCAGGCTCGGCGTGGACGTTGCTCCCACAGGACCCCCAAGCCGCGAGGCCTCTCCCTTCTCTACTCCTCGCAAGAACGTTGCTGGCCGTATTCCCATGACTCCTGGGTCACGAGGCTCGGTTGACGGTAGCGCCTACCACACCCCCTGAGTCCGCTTCACGCGGTCTCAATTTCCGAGCCAGCATCAATGGCTCGGTGAGACAGAGCCGTCTCCGTAGCGTGGAGGGTGCTAGCGAGTCTGCCCTCCCGCATGAAGACGCCGTCCAATACAAGGCCAAGAAGTCGCGTCGTCAGCACTTGAATGCCAACTTGAAGAAGGCCTTCGAGGACAAGCAGGCCAAGGTACGCGACGTCGATGACTGGTAGTTTACTCTCTTCTTATTTTATTTCTTATTTTCTTTCATTTGGTTTTCTCTAAAGATTCTGATCTGATATCTGGGGGAATTTGCTTTCAGCGTGGATTGGTATTTGGTGGATGGTCTTAATTGGGCCAGGGAGTCATGGCATGCACATACGTGGAATTTCTTTTTCAGCGCCACGGTGGGTGGCTAAATTAGCTATCAAATGCAAGCCCTATCTACATGCAGTTTTATTGAATTCTAGTCAAATCCTGTACTCGCGTGTGAAGTAAACAAGAATAGCCGGTCGCTCTCATGTTCTTTCTAGATGTCTTTTTAGGTGTATACGTAGCATCCCTAGCGCTTGACAAAGAATGAGAAGTCCGGCCAAATGGTGAATGGTTTCAAGGGATGTTGGTCAAAGAGTATACATATATTTAAAAGCATTGTAGTAATGAATGGCAAAAGGTCTTTGTTCTCACTCACCTACACCGTAGAAACATATATAAAGTCGATGCCCTCGACCTATACCAACACCACTAGCACCACCAGCATTCCTCTACACGATTTTCCAGCAAATCCCGTTCCCTAGAATCTATTTACTCTATTTACTCTGTCTACTCTATCTATCTACCAGCAAAATGTCAGGAGGTGCGAGTGATATGTGTCCTTTCATGATGGGCTCCGAGCGTCTGGTGGACCCCCAAGATGATGCAGCTCTTTGGGTTACTGTAGAATTTCCCGAAGCAATGGAGCTTACACATAGTGACGAAGAGGTGATGGAGTTTGTTGTTCAGCAGGTTGAAAGCCACAAGGTCAAGATTTCCACTCACGCACAACATTATCAGAGATCCTTGTGTCTCTCGCTACCAGTCGTTGGAGTCTCCAGTTATGAGGAACACAATGATGCAGTCATGGCTCAGGCTAAGACTTTGGCGCTCTGGTGGCTTGCAGAAATCCAAGCACACAGGGTTCAGCTGGACCGGAATTTGATTTTCCCTTAGTTCGACCATCGAACAGTTATATCAGAGCAATCAAACATATAAGAACGACAATTCTATGGGTAGAAGCGAGTATTGAATTAAGGCGAGAGGCATGGGGAGATGTGCAGTCGATGGGGTTCTTTGGGGGTATCTGATAGATGAATAGAGCAGCTATGTTGAAAAGAAGAAAAATGAACAAGACACCGAGGAAAAAACGTCAAGTCTCACAAGTAGAATAGCACCTAAGCCGTAAGAGTCCCGGCTTCTGGGATTCCATATTGAGCGAATACCACAGTCCGCAATTCAAGTGGCTCGCGTATTTGAAGTTGAACCGTTAACACAAGTCATAAAATGCTATTTGGTTGCAAGGCAACCGAATCCCAAACCCAACAAAACAACTATAATAGACAATTAGCCAAGTAGACGAAATGCTGCAGGATGTAGAGTGTGAAAGAAGCAGAGATGAGATATCAGATATCATCATAAAGGTTATACTTTGCACCACCCTCTTACCCTGGATCATATTGACAAAATAAAATCACAATCTGCATTCCACTTGCGAAGTATTTCCCCACTGCCGGCGTCCAGGTGGTTCCCAAGACGAGGGTTCGATCTTACCGAGGAACCAGACTCACTCGGAAGACATATTCAGGCGAGGTGATGGCAATGTGGGAATCGTTGGATTTGGGAGGCCACCACTGTCCGCAACCAATGGTAAGAATTGTGTATAACATGGGCCATAATTTCGGTTTCAGACAAGTCAATAAGCCACACGATCAGAAATGCGAGAGCGAGGCAGTGACACAGCGCGAGAAAAACCACAATTTCCCCGAACAGCAGCCATTTCATTAGGGCCAATGTGAATATAGGGTTCACCACATAGCTTAGAAGTACAGCGAATAAGAACAGTCGATTATTTTTGTCACGGAATGGGGAGTATAACTGGGACATTAGTCTGTATGACTGCATGATGGGAGAGGTGAGAGGAGACAGGAGAGAAGAGAAAGAGAGCAGAGGAAAGAGAACATCATGTGTTTGGCCATGACTCTATTGGGGAAGGGACTAACTGCACAAAATAGGAAGGAAGGAAGAGAAGGGAAGGTGCCAATGTCAATTTCCTAATTGGGAATTCCCTAGTCCAGTGACATCATGTGCTCGTGACATCAGTCATCAGTATTTTGATACTCCAAGGTTATCTCTCCCATCCATACACACTGTCATTGGGAACACCACCAACCCATCATGTCTCAAACTGTTAGTCAGGTCACCTTCTTCCGTGTCAAACCCTCCGTCAGGCCCGAAGACCCGGACAGCGAAGAAGGCGAGGCTCTACTGAGGATCTTCCGCACAACTCAACACCAAAGCGGTCATGAGTACTCAGCCTGGGGACGCACAGCCGAAGACAAAGACACCATTGTCTGGGTTGTAGGTGAGTTCAGCAACCCCTCGGGACAACTCGCAAACTACAATATACCCACGATATATCCTACTCACCCCTACAAACCTACAACCTGCAGCCTACGGGTCTAACCAAACCAACAGATTGGACCGATCCCCGTAGCACAATAAATGTCCACCTCCTCGAGCCCTTCCTGGACCCAGAAAATCCCCAGACACCATCGTCGCTCCACATCACCTTCAGCCCACCACTCTCCTGCACAGAAACCCTGACCAAAAACCCTGTGACGGAGCTATGCACGCTACCATTCCCAAGCGATCTTGATGTGCTAGCAGTAAAGCAGATTAACGCGGACTTGATTAATTTCCGCACTACACTGGTCGAGCAGCTGCCACAATTAGCGGGGCCACGGTCGTGGTCAATGGGGCATGTTGACCGGCCGAGTAAGCTGCCGCACGAGAAGAGTCCGAGTGGGCAAGCTTTCGCCCACCTCCTCGCTGTTGGCTGGGAAAGTATGGAGACGCATCTCAAGGCCAAGCAGACGGATAAGTTTATTCAGAGTATTGCGCCTCTGAGGGAGAAGATGCTGGCTCCTATTCCTGGGTTGGAGATGAAACATGTCAGTTTTCAAAAGATTGAGGGTTAGGAGTTCCAAGGGACGAGTAAGATCGGGAAGAGAGAAAGAGAGAAAGAAACCAAGGAGAGTGAGGTGCCGTGGATTAGTGTTGGGGGGGGCTTGGATGTAATGTGAGCTGTGTTGCATGGATCATAGGATATGTCGGTGGTAATTAGAGCAGGTAGTGGAAAGGGAAAAAAATGGGCTACTTGATTCAAGGGATTATTGCGGGAATTGTTATTAGAAAGGCAGAAAGAATCAAATCACACGCCTTGGAATAAGATACAACGAGAAAGTAAGAAAAGAAAAAAAAAAGAAATAACACCCTGAGAGATCGAAGGCAAAGAAAAAGAGACTTCATTAACCACCGTAGACTTTTGGGCATAACCCTGCAATAAGACTCTTGTAGCAGGTGTAGGTTGCACTGCGAGACTTAGACTCGGTGTTTTTCGCTCTCTGATGAATTCATTAGAACCTGGACAACAATCTGCTTCCTGCGGACCTGGGGGCCGGGGGACAAACCAAGTCGGGAATAAAGCATGTACAGAGCCATCTGGTTGCACTCCGCGGTACCAGTGATAGTAACCAGACGCTCGTTGCTGCTCTCCTGGGGCTCGTTGATCTTGATGACACTGCCGCTGAGGTGACGTATCTCGTTAATTTTAGCACCACCCTTGCCGATGATGGCACCAACCATGTCGTTGGGAATGTAGATCTGCTGGGTCAGTGGCTGACCGGGCATGGCAGCGCCCGCAGGGGTAGGGGCTGTTGGAGGTCCACGGCCAGGGGTCGGCTGCTGGGGACCACCAACGAAGGGAGCGGGCTGGTGGGGGCCTGCGCCGCCGTAAGCAGCCTGGGGAGCGGCGGGGAAGTGCATGGGGGTCTGGGGAACAGGAGCAGGAGCTGGCTGCCCGTGAAGGTAGGGAACACCGTACGCACCACCACCGGCACGGTTGGGGTGAGGGTGGTGACGCTTGAAGTTCTCGGGGTGGCCGTATTGGCCGCCGGCGGGCTGAGGAACGTACGGAACAACCTGCATACCACCAGGGACAGCACCGGCAGGACCGCCGCTGCGAGTTGCGTATGCCGAAGCCGCGGGACCGCCGTAACGTTCAGATAGCTGCTCGACCAAGGTGACTGCGACATAGTAGGTAGCAATGTGAACGGCATCTGCAACACCGAGGATGACGAGGGATCGTTCCGTGGACAGGGGGAGGCAAGCATCCGAGGCATTCAGACGGGCGCCGGAAGCCTCCTGGATCTCACGAATGCGACAGCCACCCTTGCCGATGATGGAGCCAATTAGAATGTGAGGAATTAGCAAACGCAGAGGGTAGGTCTTGGACTGTGCAGTAGAAGCAGCCTCCAGAGGTTCATTGTTAAGGGTACGGATGATTAAACCAAACGCCTGATAGTTGTCATTAGCAATCGAATATTCGTAACAAACCTGTTAAATGGAAAGCAAACCTACCTTGGCAGCAGCGTCCTGGGGACCGCTGACGGTCAGGATACGCTCGACTGCACCTCGAGAATAATCACTGACAGTGCACTTGGCACCGGACAGACGACGAATCTGGGACACGTTCTCACCTCCCTTCCCAATCACGGTAGCTGCCTCCGGGCTGGAGATCACTGCGCGAATATGAACCCAGCTCGACTCGTCCTGGGGGGGTTGATCAGAGCCCGCTCGGTCAGCCTGGGAAGCAGTTGATTGGATGGGTTGGGTGTCAACAGGGAGACCCTTGCCATTGGGCGCATCGGGAACCACGGTATCACCCTGGGTATCCTTGGCACCTTCGACAGTAGGAACCTGGCTACTGGATACATCTGTTTCCGCCTCGGCATCGGCATCGCTCTTGACTACTTTGTCCAGCGCCGGGCGCTTGGCCTCTGGCTGGTCATTGGGACCGGAAGGCGACGAAGGGTCCTCGAGAGGACGCTTGGTCGATTGAAGGTTGGATGGAGAAGCCGACATCTTGGATAGTCTGTGCTGCTGTTTTGTTTTCACTTACAAGTGAAATCGGAAGGTGTCAAGAATGAATTCTGCGTTCTTCTTTTTTATGATCGTTTTATGTACACCAGAATTTCCCACGGAAGGTGCTGGTGCTGGCGATCGGAAGGGGAGACTGGTGCTTTGGAGAAGATTTGGAAAGGCTGTGAAGGAAAGGTGGTACTGAGGGAGTGCCGACGTAAGACGGGAGGAAGTGCAGTTTCAAGTGTGAGAGGGCTTTGCTGTCACAACCGGGGAAGCTTCACGGGGTCTGCCGAGATGCTCGAAAGGAATAAGGAAGCGGAAAGGGTGGATATGGGGTCCTTGGGTGAACGCGACGGGGAAAATAAAAAGAAGCAAGTAATATCAAGCGCCAGAAACCGTTGCCTGCTGTACCACACTGTAGCCTCCGATAACGTCTGAATCTGAGGTCAAGGGTGTGGGCTAAACTCGCAGTCGACGAGTTAATAGCTTTACTGACGAGAACTTTGTAAAATTTGGAAGAAAGGTGGGAATAAGAGAATTGATGAAGGCGATGAAATGAAATCCCGGTGAGTAAGGAGAAGGGGTGAGGTTGACGATGGGGGAGGGAAGTCGAGGGTGAAGCTTGGTCACATGACGTCGACGCGAAGGTTGCATGGGCGTGATGCATCTCGTCTCGTGTCCAATATTTTGATTGCCTCTAAGGCTTCAATCAAACATTCTACAGCAAGTCTAATTGGCAATCGAGTTCTAAATTTAAAGTATTTTCATTACTTCTAGAAGGCAATATTTGCATTTCGCGTCACTCCGCCAAAATAAGCATGGATATCACCGACCAAACCGTGCAGAAGATCCAGAAATTCGCAGAAAAACGCCAAGAAGCAGAGCAGGAGTCGGTAAAAGAGCCTCTTACTGGAACTGCATTGCATGTCTATACGCGGCGTTTAGATGCAACCTTACAGGGGCTTCAAGAGCAAGTCAAACGCCAACAGGATGAATTGAACAAGGCATGTGGGATTCTCATCATAGTAAAATACCATGACTGACACGAGTTATAGCTACGGGAGCTCAATTCCCTTGACCTAACAGAAACGGGCACCGATTCCTGGGCCCGCATTTCCCAAGCCCGACGGGCCAAGAAAGCATACGACTCGCTGCTCAAGTCCGAAGATGAGCTCCCAGCAACGGACTCGGTGTTGCCATCACTTCTAGCCATAGAAGAAACCGCACGGCTTGTCCAAGAAAATAAGGTCTCTGTCACATTGACCGCCGAACAACTGTCTGTGGACCGCGAGCGCCTGCGAGTCGAAGAGGCCAATCTACGCGACTCTCAGTCAATCGCAAGCGGACTCCGAGAGCGGATTCAGAGAATCCGAAATGCAAACACGAGAAAAGAAGAGCAGACTCCGTCACAGGTGGCGCGCGAGCAGCTCACTCTGCAGAAAAGGCAAACTAAAGAACTGGACCGCACGTCCGCAAGCCTCAAGGTCTCGTTGGATAAGTTCATCGATGAGACGCTTGCTCCAATGCTTGCTGCTGAGGATCTGGGTGGCCCCACTGTGGGCGATGCTTTCGAAGTGTCTGATGCTACGTTAAAGGCAGGTTATACAGCACACGGCAAGCCTAAGAAGCAGAAAGAGCCGGCAGAAACGGAGGGTGGATCACAGCAGCGGATTGATAAGTTTATGCAACGCAGCACGGACGAGGCTTCCACAAACAAGAGGGAGGCAGCTGCGAAGGAGATGCATGGTCTTATTGACACTATGTTGGAGGCTGACTCCTACATCCATTTGGAGCGCGACTCGGCGTCTTCGAGGTTCCTTGTGAGAGCCAAGGTCGCGCAGTTTCACCCTCGAGATGCACGGCGGCTTCGATTGATTGATTTCGGTCGCTCACTAGGGAATTGAATGTGGAGAGTTCCCAGTATAGAGTGACAAAAATGGTATTAATTGATTCATGAATGTATATCTTCCTATATCCTGGTCCTTTGTAAACATGTCAAATACTATCTAACACCACACCTATGGACTACCTCTGAATGACTCCCTACAAAACCGTGAGAAAACAACACCTAGAGATGCTTGCGTAAACGCCAAATCAATCATAAACACCCCGACGAAAGGGGGTGGAAAAACAATAACATCAAATGGGCATCATGCCAATCGTAGACTTTGGGGTTTTGGCCCTAGCGTTCTTGCGCGGCGCAGACTGGCTGGTCGGACGATCCCCGGACCTGGCCTTCGTTCGTGTGCCTTTGCCTTTCCAGCTCCCAGTGGAGCCATACTTGCGTCGCGGAGGTCGTTTACCACCGGAAGACTGGCGCTTGCGACCTTTCGAGCCAGACGGTGCAGTGCCGGATTCCCAGTCGTCACCAGAGTCATACCCCGGAGAACCCGCCGGAGGAAAGTAGCGGCTTGTGATATTTTCAGCCGCACCGCTGGGTGCGGTCGGGACAGGATTGTCTAGATTAAAGGTGGAAGCCTCATCCATGAACAAGTCGTCGTCACTATACTCATCGCTGCTGCTGAGATTGATGACATTATGGTGGTTGGGATCCGGAACAACGCCGCTGGTCTCTGCTTCCTGGGTCATTTCCAGGTAGCGCCGCTTTGCATTATCAACTAGTCCCAAGATCTGCCGGCCGTAGCGCTTCACCTTATCCTGGTCGATGTTCGGGATCGCAGAAAGCTCAGTAAGATCTAATTCGTTGTTAGCTCGCTGTTCAAATTTCATTGAAGAGAATATATTTACTTGTGGGAAAGGATATGCCCATGTCACGTAGCACCTGATCAGAGAACGGTTGGCACCGAAGGCCCTTCTTAACCACAAGCTGTAACAAATGTCAGTTTCTTGATGCTGTACCAATCAGTCCTGTGACTACTCACGTCTTGAAGCATGATTTTGGCGTGCTCTTGGAAGTCTTCCACAACTACCCGATGCATATGATCAAGCCGATCCAACTTCTGATCGCTGGTGATTGGAGGGCCCATCTCGTGTGTGTTTGTGCGGCGAGATTTGCCGCTCGTCCGAATCGGCTCAAAGCCATCACTATCCTCAT